ATGGTTGGAAATGAAGATAGACATAAGAATGACATATTAAACATATTGGATGAAGCAGGATTGATCACATCACAATATGTTTTGCAAATTGTGCAATAGTATCCAAATTCATCCAATTTAGCACAATTGAAGCATGCTCAACTCCTATGAAGAAAAATAGTTGTCATGTCTTGTCATGTGAATTCTGAACGACCCTAGGCCGTCGAAGAAATCCACAGAAGGTCAGATCTGCCGGAGGGTGCAGCCCGGGCCTTGGTTTGACCTTGGCACGCCTTGATGTTGGTTGATATTGGTCAAGGGCCATAGCCATCGAATGCCATCAAAAAAGGGTGATTTGATATGATTTGATGCAAGATATGCCAGAGTTTAGTGATAGGGGAGGCTCATGGAGGCTCCAAGGCTTCTCCAAGGACATCCAAGGAGGCTGTCTTTATGTGTGCTGGGCAGGTTGCAAAACTCCAGCCGCACAGTTGGAGTAGCCGTCAGGAGCTCAGAATATTGGAAATATTTGGAAATAAATGAGCTCATAAACAATTAGTCAGAAACAATTTCCATGAAGTGTGTATTCAATTGTGTCTGTAAGTCACTTACCTTGATGATCTTGATGTTTTCCAGATCTTGTCTCAAACGTTATGAGAACTTCAACCTGAAATACTTTTGGGCATGTTTTGGGCATGTTTTGGGCATGTTGGCAGGGTGGTGAAATCCTTTCTGTTGAGGTTTGGGAGTATGAAGACGGACTGGACGTTGTTGACCAGTCTGGTTGTGACCTAAACTGGAAGCAGTCGCAGCATGTCCCAGCATGTCTTAGCGCTCGGCTCGGCTCGCCGCAGTGCTACAGTGGAGAGCTGAGGTCGTTTCCTTCCAAAAGTTCCCACTTCGCAGATCCTGCCCCCTTCAAATAGAAGGTTGGCATCCCAGAAGGGTACAAAGAATACAGGGAATACCAACCTTCAGATTGGGGTTGATGCTTGAGGCGTCATGCTCCGGGTCGTTGGGAGCCTGGCCCCGGTGAAGTTTCATGCCGATGACGAATGAATTTCAAGAACTGCTCTGTGCTGTACCTAGGCTCTCTGCCGCTGGAATTGTCAGTGCTGGGTTTATCAGGCACCTGAATCATGAGAATCTTGATAATCTTAGAGATTTGAAAAGTAAGTAAGTAGAGCATAGTAGAACTGGAATAGCATAGGCGATCTTCACGTTTGACGCTATAATCTCAGTGTTGCATGAAGCGTACGCCAAAACGCCTTAACAACCACACCAACATGCACCATGAAGACAGTACATGTTGTGACAATGTATTGACAATGTCAGCCTGGTGGATTTTCTGTCGCGAGGCAACAGCTCTAGAGGGGAGCCCAGAGGCTTCTGCTTTTCTGCTTTCAAGAGCTTTTCCGGGCCTTTTTTGCGGGCCATTTCTTTGCCATGTTTGGATCAGCTATGGCAGCTATGGCAGCTATGGCAGCTATGGCAGCTATGGCAGCTATGGCCATGTTCCAGTCAGGCTTTGAGTGGCAGTTTGCCGGTGATCAAGGTTGGTGCAAATATGTTCTTGCCTTGGAGAATTCTGATTTCATGCACAGGTTCTGTTGAAAACGCAGTCAAGAGTGTCAATGCCCCTAAAAAATCACGACAAAAACTATGAGAGCCAGGTAACAGTGTCTAAGACATTCCATACCGGTTTATTATGATTTTATTATGCACAAAATGATTACAAAATGTAGAAACAAAGGATAAACAAGACCACCTTGTGGAAAAATTGATGATTTTTCGAGAAAAACAGGTGATGAAAGGTGACCTTGCGTGACCTTGCGACTCAGGATCCCGCGGCTTCGCGGCTCCTGGAAGCTGCCAAAGAGCGAGGGGAGGAGACACCCTCAACGAAGCTGTGAGAAGTCTGCGGATTTCGCAACAAGAAAAACATGGAGATTGTTGGAGAATTCTTGAGAGTTCTTCATACTTTTTTTTTTCATATGTCAACAAGTTACTGCTCTGCTCGCAATCGGGCTTCACAGGTGCTCCACAAAGTCCCTCTCAAAGCAAGTTGCCACAAGATATACCACCATGATAACACTGAATGATAGCCGATGATGGCATCATGAGAACACCATGATATGATGGCAGTGTATATAGCGATAGATTATAGATGATTATAGATATGATCGCAGTATCGCAATGATTGTGACAGCACATCATCGCACTATCACACCATAGCCATTGGATCCTCTGGGAAGCTGATCGAAGCTGATCGAAGCTGATCTGCCCTCAAAGCAGGGCAGCTTCCTAGTGACATGGCAAAGCTTCAAACGCCATCAGTGCGAGAGCGGATATTTTCTGGAACAGATGATATTTCAGGCTCAGATGGATTCAGTTTCCTGGATTTTGCTGGGTAGGCACCCAAGCTTTGGCAAGATGTGCCAAGAATTGCGAGCTCAGCTCCTGCTGGTTGACCCCTCTTTGTTTTTTCAATGATTTGCTTTACATATCTTTACATGGTAAGGCGGAGATTTCCCCAACAGTTGGTGTTGTCACGACACCACAGCTGAGCATCTTTGACCTGTTCATCCATGTTCAGACCTTGGTGCTCCTGTTGGATTGGGAAGCCGCGCGACTTCCTTCTACGTCACTCGTCTACTGACATGTAGCACAGGGAGGATATAAATGAAAGGGTCATGAATGCAGAAGGGGACACAAGAGATGCAGATGGTGAAATAAATAAGTTGTTTTGTTTGACATTGGTTGGCTTTCTTTGACCTTGACCAACCTGAGGAGCGAACCCAGTCGAACTATACCTTCCGGCCACTGACGGCAGGGGGAATTCGACAGAGTATCTTCGTGCTGGTCCAAACATCTTTGGGAGGAGGACAGGACGCATGATGATATGAGGGACATTGAGGAACTCATATACGACAAGTGGGCTCTGTGGGCACTTTTTCAAGAGGCATTGCCACATAGCTGGACGGCGATGTCATGCGAAGTCCTGCAATGTCGATGCGAAAACGCTGCGTCATGCTGCGTCAGGCATTCTGACCATTGCTTTTATGATGCGACTCTCTGGCATTGCACTTGGCACCCTGCTGCTGATGCTAGTGCCTCGGTGAAAAAAATCCCACTGCGCCTGCCGGCCGCCTGCGTTTCCTCCGTTTCCTTTGGATGAGTTGCGTTTGCTGTTCTCAGGCTGGCTTGATTGCAGCTGCCACTTGTTTGCAGACTCGTATTATACGAGCAGGTTTCATATTGTTTCAAGCAGATTTCACAGAACATCCAGAGTAGTTGCTTAATCATGGCTCAATCCTAACTTGGCCACCATAAGCATGCAACATATATGCAGCATATATGCAGCATTTTGGGGCATGTCACTGGAACTGTAGGTGAGCATGGAAGTGCTGATGAAAGCGGCAGTGATGCGGCATCGCTACACCTTGGGCAGCCTCATGAGAGCTGTTCTCAGTCAAACAAGCAGATGGCGCAGGGTGATGTAAGGATGTAAGCCACGTGCAGATATTTGTAAGCCATTGTAAGCCATGCAAGCCTGAAATGTACATAGCATACAATATTGTATTAATAGCATACATATATTAAGCCAAATATAGATCTTTTTTTTGTTCATATGCTGAGAGTGATGACTGGACTTGTCAGTTGATGTCAGTTGAGGCTTTGTGTTTGGACAGGGTATTGGAGTGGCTCTGGTCTGGAGCTCGGTATGTGGTATGCAACACCCATGATGCCCATGTACCACAGCCTGACCTCGACATGACATCATGAACAACTCGATAAACACAAATGCAACATCTACAATGGACAACACTTGAGAAAAACATATGATATAATATAATAGGTATTATAGGACAACAAAGAAACACTACAGAGGTCCGACTGAAAAGATGATCAACTTATCAAGAAAGGACGAGCTTTACCATGCTTTACCATCGTTTTTATTCAGTTTCCTGGTCATATTATGGAAACTGTGTCCAAGGATCTTATGCTTTTCCTCTATGGCAACGGTTCGTTGATCACGTACCTCATTTTCCTTGGTAGCTTGGCGTCGGATTCGGCGGCCCAGGGGGCCCATGCCACTGGCGCCATGCAATTGGCGCAATTGGCTGCCTTGGCTCAGGTGACTTTATTCCCACCATCTTTCAGTGGTTCTGGCCAGGCGGAGCCCAACATTTTCACATTTTCACAACTATATCATATATCATATAATATATATATATTATATGATATGTATATATATATATATAAATCAGTTTGAAATGACATGACACGAAATCCTTGGCATCTAATTTCGCAGCATCACAACGCCGTTTTACATTGTCTCAAAGTCCGTTCAACCCCTGTCGCCTTCACAGGGACATATTCAGAAGCCGAGCGAGATGAGCTCCGCACCAGATGCTTAGCAACTCGGATAACCCGGAGACGCTTAGTCCGAGACACGGCCAGTTTTTCTTCGGATTTTCGTGTTTTTGCGGATAGGAAAGGGGGCGGCCATGATACACTTTGATACACCATGGCCATGAAAATTAATCATTTTTATTATCCATTATGCAAGTTTTAAGAAATATAACACATGGGAATATTGACCTGCATAGATGGGAGACCAGTGAAAGTGGATAAAGGAAGGAGAAAACACATGGATGACCGTGGATGTGGATGATGGCGGTCTTGTTCCAACACATGCAGGTTGGCGCTCTGCTGCTGGTGAGCATCGCGAGTTTGCCACGGGATCTTTCAGGGCTTAGATTCCTATCACCGATACTTGGCGCCACAAGGATGATTTTGGAATTTTTGAATTTTCTTCACTCAATCAGACTCAATCGTTACCCTCTGGTTATTTAACAGTTCGCCATGGAAAATCACCACTTTTAATAGGTAAGCCATCTATAAATGGGCCATTTCCCATGGCTATGTTAAATAACCAGAGGGTAATGTTAATATATGTTAATATATGTGTTAATTAGTATGTTAATCATTATGCGAAGCATGCTGTTCTGAGGGTCATGGCGATTGGCATTTTCTACACCGAAGTGATCGTTGTGGTGAAATGCGCCATTTCCAATTGGCCCTCCGGGCACTATTTCTTCGAGGACTTGGTGGAGGAGTGGAGCCTCTTGACATCCACCGTCACCAATTTCTTCGGATTTTTCCACACGAAACGACTCATGATGACCTGATGACCATCGACGAATGATGTTGTATGATGTTGTCACAGAATGTCACAGCTCAAAGTGCGAAACTCTTCAATGGATCAATGGACAGCACTCGAAAATCGAAGCCTTTGTGCCCTAAGGAAAGAAGGACATCACATGGTGGAAACCAGATGTCTTTTCCACACTGCAGGCCTTTAGCCTTTGTGTCTTTAGCTACGTTTGTCATTTGAGACTCGGCCACATGTCAAAACCATCGAGATTTGACGCTGTGTTGCCGTGTTTGGCCTTGGAGCTTCAGCGAGTCACTGAGGAATGTGACGCCCGTGGCAAAAGAATTGGTGGATCCCAACGACCGTCGAATTGAGAAAATCAGCTATAGAGCCTTGACAAATACATGAAAATGATTTGGTATCTGGTAAAACCTTGAAAATGATTTTAGAATAATTGTTATTCATTTTCAAGGTTTTACCAGATACCACGGATCCTTTTTGAATGTACATTTCGCTAGATGTTGAATGTGGCAACATAGGCTACAATACCAAAAAGTACCACGCTCAACTGTCCAACTGTCCTGTCATTGCTGATATTTCCTATTCTATCCTATTCTGCCTTATTCCCTTCGCCATTGTTGTTTTGTCGAGTTTTCGCACACGACACGTCCAGCATAGACCCGCATCAGTAGCAGACAAAGACGCAGATGGTCTTGGCGAAAAGAAGAATTAAGGAGTCGTGGGAGTCCAGTTCCTGATCTATTTGCTTCTGGCAGTCCCTGGGCGAAGTGGGCAAAGTGGGCGAAGCAGCGATGCTTTCTGTATCTTTCTGTTCATTTCACTGTGGTTTTTGTTGACTTGTGCTGACTCAGGTTGGAGGCATGGTGACCATGGTGACCATGGTGACCATGCTGTGCTTTTGAGCTGATTTCGGATTTCGGACACATGGTTTTGTGTCATGAGAAGTGTCATGAACTTTACAGATTTTGTGAGGATTTTGTGTGGATTTGTTGTCTTTGTCACAGGCTACCTGACTTTCGGTGACAAGACTGCCCCAAATCTCCTGACCAACTACCCCGCAAATGATCCTTGGATCCTGGCCAGCCGTGCCATGGTAGCAAGATCTCTGACATATTCACATTCCAAGCATAGGCCAAGCATAGTCAGCTGCCATCAGCCACTTCATGCCACTTCCATGATTTCTGACATATTTCCACTACATCCACTACATTCCACTAGCATCACACAATATCACAGCAACACAAAGGAGTTGGGCTCACCTTTACCGTCCTCGTGGCTGTGGCGACCAACACTAACCCAACTGTCGACATCTCAGTGACCCATTGATCCCATTGTGATACGAGAGGCTTCTCTCTGTACTACCTTTCTTTCGTGTTTTTTTTGAATGCTACTGGCTACTGCTATCAGGAAAACTCAGGAAATCGCAAATTTAACCGCTTCATTTCCGATTCACTCCGGTCTGGACCGCAATTCCAAGATCACCTGCCAAGGTTCGAGCATGTTTGTGCTTGTTGGAGGTGCATGGTGCAGCTTCCATGGGCTCCTAGAACCGGACATGAGATGAGCATTTGATCTCATTGGTATATATCATTGGTATATATCATTGGTATTCATTGATATCAATGTCAGTTTAGGACGTAAAGGTGGGATCAGAGAGAAATAGAACTGAAGTGAATCAACAGTAAAAGATGGCAATAAGAAAGAAATTATGGAAGAAATTCGGAAAGAACAAGAGGAAGTAACATATGGAAGAAACAAAGAAGAAGAAAAAACCAGCAGGAAAAAACATTGCTTGGTGAAACGGTGAAACCAATGTGAAACCATCGGGACAGGTGATCTTCCCATCGCTCAAAGAGTCTGCTGCAGAAGGTGTGGAGACATGGAGAAAGCCGAGACAGGTCATGGGGTCATGGGGTCATGGGGTCATGGCAGCGCCAGCGTGAAATTTCTGCAGGTCTCAACACTGAGCTTTTGCTGAAGACCCCGCCTCTTGTGAAACGACCCCCTGAGGACGAAGCTTTTCAGAACGGCTCCATCGGAAAAAGCCGTGCACAGTGATTCTTAAGGCTGACATGGCGAGTCTGTAGAGTCTGTAGAGTCTGTAGAGGAGCCTCAATGCAGACGCTATTTGCGATACTTCCTGAGCATTGCTTGCTTGACCATGGACACTCTGGTGGCCATTTGCGTGTCTTGAAACGAAGCAGAGAGTTTTGGGAAGTGCATCCTTTCGCTTGACGAGTGGCCATTGCTGATTATAATTTTGTTCTGTGGATTTGTATTGCATGGTGCTATTCTTGTAATTTCTTGTATTTGATGCAGTACAACTGTAGATCTTTCAAATTCTTTTGATATCTTTGGATCATTCCTCTCAGTTTGACTCCTTTTGGTCCTTCTGTTCTATCTGATTCTATCTTTTTGCTGCAAGATTTGAGTCCGCTACGCTGTCGCTTGAGCAAGCGTTTTTTTTATTTGTGAAGGTCAGAGATGTTGCAAGCGTGGTTGGCTTTCTTGGAGCCACGATGGGAACATTGATGATGATGGTCATCCCAGGGTGGGATCAACAAGCCAAGTAGGTCACAGGTACTCAGTCAGGTAGATACCAGGTACTGGTTGTAGTGAAAAGCTGCAGCTGCACCTGTAGAATCTCTAGAATTCGTGAGCGCAGCGGCGCAGGTTCTTGGTCTACAAGATGGACATCTTCTCAACTCGATGGAGTGACTCGCACAGACCGTGCTGTGTTCAACGTATTGGGCATGTCTGTGCCAGAGTCAGAGATTTTAGCTGCTCATGCTGTTCAAATACTGTTGCTGAAAAAAAGTCCACAGAGTTCAAACCTGGGGTATTCTGCAATTGCACGATGATGCATTCACAAACATTTCTGCTGACAGGCAGATTCTTCATCTTTCTGTTTATCTGCAGTGCAACAGCCAATGGCTTTGCCGTTTTTCACTGAAGGACTTCTTGTTGGAAGGGCATCATGCGAAGTTCTTGTCATTTACATGAGCAAATGCATCAGACATGATGTTTGAATATGTTTATTTCTAATCTATTGCATGATCTAATACCCTCTGGTAATTTAACATAGCTATTGAAAATGGCCATAGAAATAGTGGATTTTCCCATTAAAAATGGCCATTTTCAATAGCCATGTTAAATTACCAGAGGGTAATATTACTAAGAATCATGTGACTGGTGTGAAATGACGAGCCCTGCAGGATGCGATCGGAGAACTTTTGGAGCAGACCCGCTTGGTAAACAGTGAGGGGCCGTGACCAAGCGCATGGATTTTGGCCTGTCTGAGTCCCTGTCTTTGGGCCATGGTATCCTTTCCGTGGCAAAATGCAGAGCTTTTGTTTGATACTTTGATCATCTTGATCCAAAGCATTCACCAGAACGGACGTAATACATTGTCATAATTGTCATAGCGACTGTCCGAACGCTACAATTCTTTCCTTCTTTTGATATTGGCTAAATTGGCCTCGAGTTGGAAAATTCAGGGCGCGAGACACAGGCAAAAAAAGGACGTTGCGCGCTGCGTTTCGTGCATTTGGAATGGCAACACGCTGGGGCTGAGAAGGCTCCACAGCTCCACACGGCTCCACGGCTCTACATGGCTCCACAGCTCCACATGGCTCCATGAATCGTTGGAGTTTGAAGGACACTGTGAGCGTGCGCTCCGGATCCAATCGCTACCTGGTGAACATTCGTTCGAGCCTCAAGATGGTGCCATGGTGTGCCATGTAACGTCGAGTCTCAGCTCTGAATCCCACCAACACGGTGACTTTGAGACGTTTGAGAAGAGCATGTGTTCGATTGTTCGGGAGAATTGATTCTATAGGAGAGTTTAGAATGTTTAGAGACAATTTGGAGATGTTTAGAAAATTTTAGAGATCTCATTGGGTTTTGCGATCGGCGATGAGGCGCTGGTACCCAGACCAACATCTCTCTTCCTGGCCATCGGGTCCGTCGGGTCAGACGCCTTGCCACAGGCCCATGGCCCAGGACGTGGCTGGACGTGGCATTTACCTATTGTCAAAATGGAGGGAACAAAGGGAACCCTACCTGTTGAAAAATGTTGAAAACTTGTAACATTCAAGGAAAGTGGTGGCGATTCTGATGTATCACACTGTGATAGATTTTTGAATTGTGCTGCAAACTTGGAAGGTCCTGGTGGTCCGGCGGTCAGAAATTGTGGGGCTTTCCTTGCGTCAGAGTCTTAGAAGATCATTTTCAGTGGCAAACAACTGTTTGATTCAGGCACTTCTGACACTGTGCCAAGGTTGGAACGAAACTTCAGCGCTGTGGATAGGGGTCCTGTGAATGACTTCGAGCAGAAAGTGAAAGAGCCTTAACGACCATGGCAATGGCATGTCAATGTGGCTTCGGCCGTGAGAGGTTACACAACTCCCAAAGTTCTTGCCATGAGTTGCCATGATGTCACAATGGTCAGATTCTGATCATATTCTGATTTATTCGGGCCTGAATTAAAGTATATACAGTATACTAAAGTTTTCATCAGCCACCCAGTAGGCACATATGGCATAGATCATAGAACTATTGCGCACAGTTGCATCATGTTGCATCGAGGCTTGAACGGAAGCTGGGGGAAGAGCATTTTAGACAAGATGAGGTGCCAAAGATTGCCAAAGGGCGGGTTCCAGTAGCATGGCTTTGTCTTCTATGCATTTCAATGCCAATTTGTCCTGTTGGACAGGACGTGCCGTCCGTTGATGCAACAGTCAAAGAGCTGGTTGGGAACTTTGGATATCTCAGACATGGTGGAATTATCATGCACATCACTGTGTGCAGATATTGGATTATATATATATATTAGATTTAGCTTTCATTTGAATTTGTGTGTTTCATCATTTTCATCATATTGGGTGTATCATTTGCAGATCTGCTTCACCTTAGACATGCCATGGCAGCTGGCAGCTGGCAGCTGGCAGCTGGCAGCTGGCAGCTGGCGGTAGATCTCTGAGGCCAACGGTGTGCCAGCTCCGCGATTGCACGTGGAATTTTTCAGAGTTCCAAGCTGAGAAACGAGAAAGAACGGGTTGTTTTTTTGAGCCATGAAAAAAGATATCCATGGTGATTACATGGTGATTACTATGGGATATTATAGATATTATATTTTTTAATAGGCTCAAGATGGTTTATTTCAAATAAACTTATTCTTTATCTCCCAAACAAATGGTGAACAGCTATGAATAGCTGATAGGTGACCGTCCCAAAAACATGACATGACCAGGTGACCACCCTACCAAGGTCCCAGCCGGTGAGGCTGAGGATCCTTTGCCCTTGGAGCCGCTTGGATTGGAAAACCATTTTGATTGGGAAATTGCTACCAGAAATTTGGGATGTTTACAGATATTTATATATGTTTATGGATGTTTATGGATGTTTGGGATGGAAAGTATATTGGAAAGTGACTGCCCCAACTTTGGCGGATTTTGCTTCAGAACTTCAGTTGACTTCAGGTGCACAGTGCTGCAAGCGCTGTTGTGGCCCGAGTCGGCTGGTGCCACGGCCACAGCACGATCTGTTGATCAGCGTCAGTGTCTCAGGATGTGAGAAATCAAAACCACTACACCTAAAAGTTTCACATTGAGCTCCACAAGATTGGTCTGGAAGATGCTTCTCCTTTTCGATATGGACTATGTTTGAATCTATGCTTTATGTTCAAGTTTGAGGGTGTCGCTGTTTTAAATCCAACCCGAACTCAAGATGTGAACCATTACAAGCAAGGCTTGCGCTATGTACTCCACGTGGAAACTACACAAAAGCCCCTCAGTCAGGCTTTGACGCTGCTTGTTCGCGTGTGGCTAATGTTTGCCAGTCTGGAAGATGACTGTGCTCAAATCTTCGAATAGTGTTGTTTGTAGGTCAGTAGAGCCTCTATTTCCCGGTTGGATTCTGTGGATTCATGATATTTCTGTAGGTCTTTTTTTGCCCCCAATTCGTTGCCATCAAGTCTTAAGAATGTGTGCATTCCTTTTCCAACTGAAGTTCTCTGAGTTGACTGTGTTGGTGAGGAGCCCCCTCCCTCGAACTTGCGGCGTGATCACACTGGGGCTGGGATCCCCAGAGAGGCAAGATGCAGGAAGACAATGAATGACATGTGCAAACAATTGAAAAACATGGAACATGAATGACCATGATTATGTCATATTATGGCATATTATGGCATATTATGGCATATTATGGCATATTATGGCATATCATGGCATATCATGGCATATTGTCATTCTTTCGCATGAAGTTTCTTTGGCGTTTTTTTGAAGTCGCTTCAAGTGACGACATCTCAAGGTTCAGGCAGCTGGCCGTGCAGGTGCTGAGGGTGAATCCGCAGCAGACTCAGTGGCGCTTACCCATGACGGATCCATGGTGCTGCCATATATATGTGTATATATATATATGCCATATATGGTAACATGGATCCCATCAATATACCCCAGTCATGTTAGCATTAATATACCAGCACCATGGATCCGTCATGGGGCACATCATAGTATTATCTTCTATGATATATATTCTTACCAGAGACTACCAGTACTGTACACAACTCCCCAACATCATCATAGCAAGGCGACACTTTTGGCGCTGCTGCGAAGGCTTCGGCGCTTGATGATGAACAGCAGCATTCGCAACTTGGCCATGAAGCAGGGATTCATTTGAAAATTAGGTTATGATGTTTGATTCTATAGCAAACTATACATAAGATGTTTGATGATGTTTGATGATGTTCGATACAGGCTAATTGGCTAATTATATATATCTGTATATTACTAAAGTTTACTATACATATATGTATATGATATGTATATTATCTAATCATGATCTATAATATATATATATATTAATATATATATATATACACATTATCTACAGGCTGATGATTGATGTCGGGGCCATATTTGTACGGCGAGGCTGGGAGAATGACCAGCTGAATCGGAAGTTGGCACATCAATTGGCCCAGCCGTTGCTGACTGCCTACGCCTCAGTGCAGCAGGAAATACCAGGAAGCTGGGCCAGTTTTTCCATGGTTTTGCCATCGTTTTCGCATCAATGTTGTGTTGATTTGATTGGTTAATGTTGGTTGATATTGGTTGATATTGGTTGATATCATTTTGGCACATCACATCGCATCAGGCCAGTGGAGTCGTGCCTTCTTGGGTCAAGGTGCGTCTAGAAGTTACCAGGATTTAGTAGGGGATTTACACATACTTGGGACCATTTATGACACAGAGATATACTATATGACTATATGATAATCCATGATCTATACTTCAGCTTTGATTCCCCCCAGTGGAAGACTACAGCTACTTCAGCTGTCCTGTCCTGGTGTTGCAGCAGGCTTTGCCATTGACGTATCCATTCCTCTTCGAAAGGAAGCTGAAAGCCTTGCCCTCAATTTTCAAAGGTGTGAATGTTAGCACTGTCAACCATGGTCAACCAAATGATACAGTATATATATATATATAACGTCAAGATGCTAGTTTCTACAGGGTTTCCCAGTCTAACGAATCTTCTGTTGAACCGGTTTGCCCTGTGCATTGCTCTGCAGTGATCGTTGCTTATCCTCCCATTTCCAAGGAGCAGTTGCTTCACTGCATGGGCTTTGGCACATCGCACGCAGTGCTGTGGCTCCAAAGACGGTTCAGAACTTAGTGACTCATCGAAGCTGTTTGAAATTCGGATGTCTCCATGGTGGTCTCAAACATAGGAAAAGGCATGAAAGTCATGAAAAAGGCCACAGATCAATTGTTTGGGTTGAAGTAACGTATTTTGAAGTGAAGCTAAGTAACAAGATGTAACAAGAGTTAACAGGTGACGCTATGTGACACTATGTGACACTATGTGACACTGCTGCCTTCGGAGGTGTGTTGAAGCACGCTTTGGAGAGCAGTTGCGCTTAGCCAGAGAGCGTTTAGACCTCGGTATTTAGATCCAAGCTCCGAAATGTGTCGTCGCTTTTTCAAAGGCTGCCAGGCTGTACCTTACCAGCCACCCGTGAAATATTAGCCCGAGCTTGCCACATTTTGGCCGCAGATCCCACATGACCATTCAGCCACAACCAGCCCATAGACTTGAGATCAGTATTATTCAAGTTTAAGTCAGTTCTGCAAGTTTGGTGTCAATTTCACATGATTTGTCAATTCATCAATAAACTCTCAAAGGTTTAAAGTTGAGTCTCCACGGAGCTTCTGCGCACTCTGGCATTGTCAATGTCCTTTCAAAGCTCGGAGGCAGTGGTTTGGGCTTCGAGACTGGTGATCTTTTCGATCCTGTACGCTTTACAAGGATATGTACCAATCGTGCCATTTCTGGTATCCAAAGGAGAGGTTGGCATCATTTTGAGCACACAAGGCTGGGCAAGTGTGGCAGCCCTGATGCTGGGAAGTTCTTAACACAAATTTTGGATCGCTTTGGTACATTTTCTACATTTGTTACTTTTGTTTCAGCACTTTTCATTCAAACTGTTCAAACTTGATCAAACGATTAGACCTCCACATTTCCAATCATTTCCAGTGCATTTCGCTTTTCTACATGTGTTTAGAAATCAGGATACCAGCTGGCTTTGCTATTGACAAATATGGAGCGAAAGGCGTCCTACAGCTGGGGGTTCTAATGTCCCTGCTGAGTCTCGGTCTCATGGCCACCTCTAGTGGCTTCGCAACGCAGTTGTTGGCGCGGGTCGTTCTGGGCGCGGCCACATCAGCTGCTTGGTTTTTTGAGCGCCGGCGCACACATTGGCACGGAAGTACACAGAGATACAGAAAAAAAAACCCTTCCCCCTAATACGAAATGCATCTAAATGCCCCCCCCAAATAATAAACACCTCAGGTAATTCTTATTATTAGGGGGGTATTTATTATTAGGGAACCCTGATAATAAATTTAAAACCTTAAAGACTTAATTAAAAAACACTATTTTTTTCGATTTCAAAATCAACTCAATTTCCTTTTATAATTTTATAACCCAATTAAAATATTGCCAAAATTTTGATTTCGAAGCTTCCCCCTAATATTAAATTAAAATCCTAAGATAAAAAATTAAAAATGTCACGGACCCTGATAATAAACACCCCGGGGTTAACTAGTTTTTATTATTAGGGGGCGAAACCCACAAATGGTAGTCTTATTTTTAGTTTGTTTTCTAAAGGGGATCAATTAAAAGTCAAATTGGCCGAAATTTTAAAAAATTAGAGATTGCCCCTAGTTTTTATTGTTGGGGGAGTTAGTAATACGGGGAAGGGATTATGTACTTTATCAAGATGTTTGAAGATGTGGTGACATTTATGGTCAAATCGTCGAGCATCATCTCGTCAAGGTGATCTTCAACTCGGCAATGGCCCTAATTATGGAGCACTTCACTGAGCCAAAGCGATCAGAACACTTGGGACTGGCAGTGGGCTTGGGAAGCTTGGTGCACTTGAATCACTTGAATCGTCGTCAGATTTCTGCATCGTTTGATCTCTAATTTTTCAGGTTTGTCTCAAACTTGCTGATTTTTCACGGCTTAGTGTAGAGTCTTCCAGGAATTGAGAAGTTGAGGGCCCGAGGTCCCAGGCTTTTTGACCGCTGACACCACCCTGCCCCAAGGATCGCTCGGAAACCTCGCAGGTCCACCATGCATGGGTGCCCTCTTCGATGCTGCCAGTGCAGAAGGTGTCGTAAATTACCCAAAACCTCTTATAACAGATATAAGGTGTCAAAATTTGTTTCTTGTTTAACTTGTTTGTGATTAGTTTGTTTCAAATTCTAGTTCATTAATGGTGTGCGTCCGAAGCTTCCTGTCATTTTTCACCCTGCCCCTCATTAGCATGCTCAAACTTTGCATGACTTTATCGCTCAGAAGATCCGGAATGCCCTTTGGTCCTTTGTGTGGACAAAGCGGGCCAAACTCATCCAAACTCACAACAAAAGTCTTTCTTCAACGGATGATCAAAGTCCTCCTTCCAAAAATAGGACTTGTCCAGAGCCCGTCAGGTCTACCAGAGCCTCAATTTTGGGCTGTACTGCCACCCCTCCTATTGTTTGTCATCATCTACAAAATGCTTCACGATGTTGTGTCCAAAACCGAGCCTTTGCTCGAAAAGGATAAACAAGACGACCTTTTGGCGAAGGCATGTGGTGGTCTCTACTTGTTCAAAAACGGCCGGGTGTTGGTTTTAACCTTTGAGCTGATCTGTATTTTCGCAGCCAACAATGCGTTCGTTACAGCCGCAGCTATTGAACTGCAGAGAAACGGTTTTTCTTCTGCGTGGATTGGGATGATCACCATGCCTTCGGGATTGATGCAGTGCTTGCTATCACAATGGGCTGGTCGGGTTGCTGGTTCGGTCAAAAACCGCGAGCGAATTCTTCTGTATACACCAACATTGCTAGGGTCTTCACTGTTGTTTATAGCTTTCATCGCCAAGAGCATGGCATTTTTGGCCACCCTGGATTCATCTGTCAGCACGTTGCTGGTGCCTATTCTCTCCACGTTGGTCGTTTCGTCCGCGGCACTGGGCGCTGCAGATGCCCCGGCGATGTCGATGATGGCCGACCTGGCCGCTGCACAAGGTGTGGGCTACGGCCAAGCCCTCACGGCCTCAGAGATGGCCATCAACGCAGGCCGGTTTCAACCTCCGGAGACCTCCGGAATCCTCCGGAAACCGGTGAATCCTACGAATGGAAACCAAGTGATTGGGTACTTGATGTACTTGTAATTTTAATGTATACGATATTTTTAAATATTTTTAAATACTTTAAGAAGATGTTCGATCTTTGGCCATAAATGAGAATTTATCAATGTTTATATAAATCCCTTTCTTTTTAACGAAGGGTATCTATGACTTGGCCATGATTTCTTGAAATTCGTTGGGGTCTTCTGGTATTCTTGGAATCTGTGAGCGTAAAACTTCGTGAGGATTTTCATGGAGAACTGAACACACTTTCCTGTCCAGGCCTAGCAATGGGTCCTTCGTTGGCAGCCTTGGCATTATCCGCAAATTGGAATTATTTCGAGATTTCTTTGGTAGGCGCAGTTTGCGCCTTGCTGGCTGCGCTCTGTAGTGCCTATGCACTTCGAGATGTCCAGCATGCTGGTGCTGGTGCAACCTGAGCAACGGAATGTGCAAAAAGCTGAAGGGATTGCGGGAAATCCTTGTCTCAAGTTAGCCGACATTGAACACATATTTTTCGTCGTGGCATTTTAGAGTCCTTTTCAGAGTCCAAAGCGGTCTCTCTCGTCCGCGTCCAGTTCTCTTCGTAAGATACAAATATTATTATATAGAATTAAACTATGAATCAAATAGGTTGAAGCAGATGGAGATGATGGAGATGGAGGATGAACCATGGTTGAACCATGGATGAAGCAGTTTTCCCATGTTTTGTGACTCCAAGGTGTTGCCAGAACTGGTAATGATGCAGAGCTGTGGGAGCTACACGAGCAGGCTGAACATATCGGAACATGATGACTAGCTCAAGGCTCAAGGAGCAACTGACTTCAATGAAAATGATGTAGAAATATGACAAATATGATAAATGATGTAGAACATGAAAGAATATGAAGACACATGTGAGGATGAACCAGTTTTTTTGCATGACCTTTCTGCTTGGGGAATGCACTGTGTTTGGGGAGGCAGCTGCAGATGAGAGCGTTTTCGTTGGTGCTGGAAGGAGTGAAATGGCCAGGCCTGGTTTTCAGGCTACCAACCTAGACATTTCAAACATTTCAAACATTTCGGATGTTTCTGGTTGAACAACTGGACATTTGAAGTTTTTCAAGGCTCCCGGGACGCGGCAGCTGCAACCTTCTGGAAACCGCAGGGAAGCCTGGACCCACCATGACCCACCTGGAGCTTGGACCAGCAATGGGGGCCACATCCCAAGGCTGAACGAGTCATCCAGCTGACTTACAACAGCCGTGATGCCGCCGCATTTCACGAAACCTTGCTGACATCAGCTGACATCAGCTGACTTCAATGATTTTCAGCTGGGGAATAGAAATGAATGATATTTATCAAATTGACTGACACTTGCTTCCCAACATGTCCCAACACTACCTTCCAAGCCAGGTGCATTGCTGGAGGTTGTCTTTGATGATGAGACTGGCTTCGGGGACCTTTGGCATTTTAGCACAGTTTGGCATGTGGCCATGAGCCAAAGGTTTGGATAATGAGGGCCTGTCGTTCTAAACATTCTGGCCATCATTCAACCAATTCAACCAATTCTGTGCCATACTATTAGTTACTATTCTGAATCATTCTGTGCTATTTTTGTGTATAAACCATTATAAAATTTATAAACCACTCCATGCCAAGGATGGGGTGACACAAAGTTTCTACACGGATGTTGCAGCAGAACTTTGCTCTGACTCCGAAGGGCTCGATTGCTCAGCACCACACGATTCTCACTGCACAGTACCACAATGTACCACAAGTTCTTTGGAAATGTTTGGAAAACTCCTTTGGAAAAGTTGCCTTTTGATCAGGTCTTTGGGGCTTTGGGTAGAACACCTGCCACAAAGTCGCGTGATGCGCGGGACTCAAAGCAACATCAGCAACTTTGAGTTTGCCCCGACAAGGCAATGTCAAAAGGATTGGAAGGGTTAGTATTTTAAGATATTTTGAGGCATTTTGGGAGTTGGGGGTATGCCATGAATTGCCATGATATTCCACTTTTGACAAAGTTGGTAGACGTTGGACACCGAGGCATCAAGGCAAGACATTTTTGCATTCTCCGCGTGGCCTTTTCCCACGACCTCATGTTCCGGGCAGCCGGGAGCCCCAAAGAATCGGATCTGAATGTCGGAGCAGAGTCAGATGTCGGATCTATGATGAATATTGATGAATGATGATGAAGAATATGAAGATGAATGGTGGGTAGCCAAGTTCAATATAGTTCAATTCTTTCAATCCTGCCATCCCTCCGAATCATCATCCAAACCATCTACCAGCACCTTTTAGGCCCAAATTCTTTGGCTGCCTGCAAACGCTTTCGCTTTCTTGGCCGCCTCATGGCAAAGGCATTGAGAGTCCAAAACTCAGCAGTTCAGAAAAAAACGAAATAACATCATATAACATCTACAAAACACAACGGCAAACTTTACAATTATTGTATAATTATGTTGGAAAGTTTGTGGATCTACTGCAGGATCTACTCTTTTCAATGATTTGGGGCACTCCAGGATGGCTTCATCGTCCCAGTTGCGCTGTGCCCCCATTTCTTCGAGGCGGCAGCCTGTGCGATGCCATCGGATGTGTTGGATGCTGTCGGATGTGTTGGATGTGTTGAATGTCCATCGGAGGCGGTTTTAGGTGCAGATCTACCTCTGGAAGCCTTGCCATCACCAGGCCGAAGTGTGACAGCATCTGCGATGCTGTAGGTAGATGCTGGTTTATCGTGTATACCACCAAAGCTTTGGAAAGTTTCAGCATAGATGGAATTGAGTATATAAGGTCCAGTGAATTATTGGGTTCGACTTACCGTAAACAAACTAAACAAACTCAAACGTTTGCTTATCTGCTCATCATCTGCTCATCGCTCATCCTGATCAAGGAGAACTTTATTTATTTCCCAATGTTCCCCAGCAATCCGTTGGCCATGCAGTCCTCGGGCTTGACATACCCATAGCGTCCCATGGCGAAGGATAGAGTTTATGTTGGCCGATAGAAGGATTTCCAACTATGGGATTGATGATCATAATATCCATAATGCATGTCATGTTTGAATCATGCCACATATTATGGAAGCACCTATTATTATATAAATTATATATATATAATTAATATATATATGATAGAGAATACTAATGTACACTAATCATTTTATTATCCATATATTTAACAATATTAATAACAATATTTATAACTATATTTCACATGTAAGTGACATTTTGATCATTTTGACGTGTCGAAGAATGTCAGGTGACGGTTGGTCTGGGGAGTTCCTGGGCGCTGCGGCGCGCTTCGCCCGGGACCGGCGAGCTGCTGGAGCTGCTGGAGCTGCTGGAGCTGCTGAACCGGGCTGGGCCGCCAAATATGTCCAGGCGCCGTTTCGAAGCTTTGCCAAGATCATCCAAGATCTCAACTATTCTCAACTATTCTCAACTCAATAAACATCATAGTAACATAGTAAACATATATATAGTCAGTATATAGTATAGCTATAATAAACACCTGGGACCTAAGATATGCCAAGATGATCCACAAGTGGATACTAAACGCAACTAGTTGCAAGAGCTCACGTAGCAAGAGCTCACGTCACATGTCGCAAGATGTCGCAAGATGTCGCAGGGTTGTGTCGCAATGATTTAAATATGCCAATCGCAGCATTGCATCCGTAACTGTGTCACATATGTGTCACATGTCGGATCATGTCAGCCGGCGTTGTCGGCTGGCGTCAGAGCCGTCACAGGCCAAAGGTGCTGCGGGCGAGATGTCTTTCGACGAGTCAAGAACCTGGCGCAGGGAAAACAATTGGCAAACCGCAAACCCTTCCGCAGACTTCCCCGACATGTTTCCACATGACAGGTGCATGATGGTGGCCGTCATGGCAATGCAGCAACATCAGCAACATCCTGTCTGAGGTACTCTCAGCATTGTTTCTTCCTGGAAACAGGGGCATCAGGCAACGCTTTGCACCGAGAAGAAGTGAGATGAAGTGAAATTAGCAGTCATACTTTCGAGTTGTCAAAATAGTCTTTAAATCACCATATAGTCAGATTATAATCAGATTATAATCACCAGGAAATTACCTGATTGGCTTTCGGGTTGGTAGCCCAAATTGGTGCCACGGCAAGGCATGGAGATTTGTGAAGGTGGAGCAGAACGTCCAAGCCCCAGGATGCACAGCCGCAAAGCCTCAGGCAGTAGGATGATGAATGATGATGAATGATGATGGATAAAATATGATAAAATCAGTGGGTCAAATTTGGCCAATAACTAGTCACTTTGAGACATTTTGAGACCACATTTGGTCGAAGTCGCTTTGACTCGAGGTGCCCTCTCCATTGCTAATCTTGACGATTTCGTGGAATGTGCAGCCCAGTGGTGGTTAAGGGATGGTATCATACCTCAGGCTGGGGACAAGTTCGCTGGCATGATTAACATTCTCCTTCTTGATGTGTGCAAATTCTAGCGACAGGAATAAGGGCGTAGCAAGATGTGACAAGAATCAAATCGATTTAAATCGATTCAAATCGTGTTTCAGGTCACAGAGATTCATCCCAGTTCTCTGAAACTTTGACTCCCTGATGGCCGCTTGGGCTCAAGTTTTATCAGCCTCGGCCGGGTTTCACCATGAGTTGTCTTCAAGACTGCTGTGAGCAAGAGCCTGACCCCACAATCGATCAGAGCGCGCTAGCACCCACTCGCCGCGCAGATGTCGAATTGCCCGAGCCACCAGAATTGGCAATGTCTGACGAGTCTGACGTCAATGGCCTTGAAGCGATGAGTTTTGTGAACGTGGCGTCCGTGACCATGTCTGACAGTAACTCTGGGGCGGTGGGAGAGCCGTCTTTCGACTCTTTCAAGTCCTACGTTTCCGAAAGGATTCGGGTAACCGACAAAGAGATCCTGCGTGGCATCACTCTTCGGGAGTCCTTGCGCAGAGGCGGAAGTTTGTGGCGGAAGAACCCCGAGCACCTTCCCTGAACATCTCTGAACATCTCTGTCTAGTCTGTTTTGTGTTTGTTTTGTATGTTTTGTGCGGCTCAAATCTGCGCAACTCCGAATAAAACACACGTGTAACATCGTGTAACCAGCAGATCCGCTGCGAATCAAGGTGATCCATTCACCCGTTCCCCGTGGTGCAAGACAAAGCAACCTGGGTACTGTAGGCTGGCAGGCTATAGCGTTAGTGGATGTTAGTAGGGGGCGGCTCGAGTACGCTTCTGGTGCAAGAAACTTCAACCTCAGAGATTTGAATTCTTTACAATCACCCTTGCTGTAAATGTCCTTCATCTAAACTTCATCTAGAAAAGGGGAAAACAGTCCAACCCTGAACATAGGGTGCACCTAAGCTAACGTAAGTTCAGGTTTATTGAAGTCACAAGCACTTTACACAGCTGCATTTCCAAGGCTATTTTTTTTGCATCGTTTCCATGATCTTGGCAACATTTGGCAACCATAGGTCCCAGTTCACACATTTGGTCGTTTCTACTATTACTATCAACCATTATCAACCATACGATTGGTCGGGTACCCAATGTTTGACCCATACCAAAGCAGGTCATCCTGATTTCAGGGGCGCGGCGAGGGAATGTACCTATTGGAGACATGATTTTTTCATATTGTTTCCAAGGCAGCATAAAGCTACCTAAAGACAGAGGAAGGTAGGATTTCGCCAAATCGATTCTGGAGTTTGAAATCTCTGCGTTGCGGGCTCTCAAGCGGTGTATGCACTGTAGGTGTTGTGTCAGCGGAGTGAGCAGGAATTCTGATGACGTTCGTCATTAATTACATGAAAAGTTTGCGTCTCCATCATTATCAGCTATCAGTTTGGGAGTGACCATATTGCCTGAAGAGGAGGGAACAAGGGCAAAAACAAATGCCATTAAAGCATTTGAAGAGATTATAGGTGCTTGACTTGTGATTTCTGTGTCTGTTTTTATCTGGCCTGCAGTTTTTATTTTCGAGTAAGATGCGTGAACATTCTGCATGTTACGGGAATTTTCCCAGCTCTTGACCCAAAGGCAATACTGCAATGCCAACCATCTTCCCCCTGAAATCCACAAATTTCGGGAGCAAAACGAATGCAGATTTCTTGAGGAACGGCGCCTCAGCCCCAGAAACGGAACCACCAAGGTGCCAAACCATTGTTTTTCTGTCTTTTGTGATTTCAGAATCTAGCCCATCATGCAACTCTAGTTGATTTGTCCTATCTTTTTAGACTTTTACATACTTTTGCAGACTTGTTTCCAGACTCATTTTCTAGAATCACAGACAGAGTCAGCTTCCGTTCAAAAACACCATTTTTGTGTTCACAAAAACAGGCCTCAAATTCAATCCAAACGAACTGACAGGCCTCAGATTCAAAGCTGTGACTGCGAGTTTTTAAAAGCACCAAGAACTGCGCTGTTCCAGCAGTGAAGCAGTGCATGATGTGACGATGTAGAGAATGAAATGGACCAATAATTTATTATATAATTTATATTTGGATATAGGTAGCATATAGGTCAGTTTGCTTCCACATTCCTCAAAGAGTGAGCCGAAAGAGCCTCGATGCAAGCCCATGGCCCATTGATTTCCACCAAAGATGTCCAAATAAATGGGCTAACGCCCAGGTGCCGCCGACCCCCTTTCAAGGGCGGAGCGGCGGGGAACGGTCAAAATGGCCCACACGTGCAGTAGTCCAAACATACAAATATTATGGAACTCTTGAAGGTCTAGGTAGTGTAAACATAGATTGTGGGACAATGAATCGAATGTATTGATATCAGGGATTTCCGTGTCTGTTCATCGGAGGGTTGTGAGGTTCTGAAGCCTTCGAAAGCCGCTGCGGAGGTTTTGAGGATTTTAAGGGCCTTGGAAAGCTGCTGCGGAGGTTTTGAGGGTTTTAAGGCCTGCCCAAAACGTGCCACGTGGCAGTATCGAAGCCCAATAGAAACAGCTTGTGGGGCCTAGGGAAGTACTATGGCCAAAGCAAGCGGGACGCCTGCGAAAGCTGCTGCGGAGGGTTGTGAGGTGCTGAGGCCTTCGAAAGCTGCTGCGGAGGTTTTGAGGGTTTTAAGGCCTGCCCAGAACGTGCCACGTAGCAGTTTCGAAGCCCAATAGAAACAGCTTGTGGGGCCTAGGGAGGTACCATGACCGAAAGCTGCTGCGGGGGGTTGTGAGGTTCTGAGGCCTTCGAAAGCTGCTGCTGCGGAGGTCAAAACGTGCCACGTAGCAGTTTCGAACCCAATAGAAACAGCTTGTGGGGCCTAGGGAGGTACCATGGCCGAAAGCTGCTGCTGAGGGTTGTGAGGTTCTGAGGCCTTCGAAAGCTGCTGCGGAGGTTTTGAGGGTTTTAAGGCTTGCCCAAAACGTGCCACGTAGCAGTTTCGAAGCCCAATAGAAACAGCTTGTGGGGCCTAGGGAGGTACCATGACCGAAAGCTGCTGCGGGGGGTTGTGAGGTTCTGAGGCCTTCGAAAGCTGCTGCGGAGGTTTTGAAGGTTTTAAGGCCTGCCGAAAGCGTGCCACATGGCAGTTTCGAAGCCCAATAGAAACAGCTTGTGGGGCCTAGGGATGTACCATGGCAAAGCAAGTGGGACGCCTGTGAAAGCTGCTGCGGAGGGTTGTGAGGTTCTAAGGCCTTCGAAAGCTGCTGCGGAGGTTTTGAGGGTTTTAAGGCTTGCCCAAAACGTGCCACGTAGCAGTTTCGAAGCCCAATAGAAACAGCTTGTGGGGCCTAGGGAAATACCATGGCCGAAAGCTGCTGCGGAGGGTTGTGAGGTTCTGAGGCCTTCGAAAGCTGCGGAGGCTTTGAAGGTTTTAAGGCCTGCCGAAAACGTGCCACGTGGCAGTTTCGAAGCCCAATAGAAACAGCTTGTGGGGCCTAGGGAGGTACCATGGCCGAAAGCTGCTGCGGAGGGTTGTGAGGTTCTGAGGCCTTCGAAAGCTGCTGCGGAGGTTGTGAGGGTTTTAAGGCCTGCCGAAAACGTGCCACGTAGCAGTTTCGAAGCCCAATAGAAACAGCTTGTGGGGCCTAGGGAGGTACCATGGCAAAGCAAGTGGGACGCCTGTGAAAGCTGCTGCGGAGGGTTGTGAGGTTCTAAGGCCTTCGAAAGCTGCTGCGGAGGTTTTGAGGGTTTTAAGGCTTGCCCAAAACGTGCCACGTAGCAGTTTCGAAGCCCAATAGAAACAGCTTGTGGGGCCTAGGGAGGTACCATTTTCGAAAGCTGCTGCGGAGGGTTGTGAGGTTCTGAGGCCAAAACGTGCCACGTAGCAGTTTCGAAGCCCAATAGAAACAGCTTGTGGGGCCTAGGGAGGTACCATGGCAAAGCAAGTGGGACGCCTTCGAAAGCTGCTGCGGAGGGTTGTGAGGTTCTGAGGCCTTGGAAAGCTGCTGCGGAGGTTTTGAGGGTTTTAAGGCCTGCCCAAAACGTGCCACGTAGCAGTTTCGAAGCCCAATAGAAACAGCTTGTGGGGCCTAGGGAGGTACCATGGCAAAGCAAGCGGGACGCCTTCGAAAGCTGCTGCGGAAGGTTGTGAGGTTCTGAGGCCTTCGAAAGCTGCTAGAGGAACTTGGAAAGGTTCCGAGCCTTCGGCCAAAGCCGGCACAGGGCCATGCCGCACACCTACGGTGATCCCGGGCGCCGCCCCGCCTAGGCCAAGGCTAGGCAGGGGTCGGCGGATATCAACTTTCTGAAGCTAAAGCTAAAAGCAAATTCAATGTCCAAAGACGTCGCAAAAGCCGATGGTCAAACCCATAGGCTGGTACAGTCAGTACTAGGTTCGGGCCTGATGTCGCCTGGAAAAAGAGCACGCCAAGGACCCCAAGGAAGGAAGCATCCCTTTGTTCGGATTCCTTCATCTTCATCCGAACCAAAGTATATCAATATGTTTGTTCAGTGTTTCAGAAGTCATGTTTTCATCTCTTTTCATTTTGTTTTGTCCCTCAACAACATGTTTTCCTGGACGAGATTGTGGTCAGTGACGGTCAGTGGTCATGTGGTCATCAGATTGCTGAATCCTCCGAATCCTTTCCCTCGATGCACTGAGGCAATTGACGAGAGGAGCCCGGGAAGAGTTATATCAGAAGTCCAGGCTCATACAGCACTTGGAGACTCAGCTTTGACTATTTTGACTCACTGACTGCCGCACCGTTTTTTTGTTTTGTTTTAAGCGTCAGGACTTCTACATTCTACATCTACCAAGTGATCATTTTGTGAATAAAATATTTCGATGTTTTCGTGTTGTCTTTCTATCACTTTCCATATTTGAATACAGAATTATGCAGATAGCAAGAGGTTTCTCATGCCATTGTGATGAGCATGTGGTTACAGGCTGGTGGACTGCCCTCAAGGAGGCATCTATGTCAATCTAATTATGTAGCAAAAATTACTTTACTTCGAGTTATCCCCACCATGACATCTATACGTTTTGTTACTGGCAAATCTTCTGGCATTCTATCTGACATATCTTCTGGCATTTTATCTGGCATATCTTCTGGCATTCTATCTGGCATATCTTCTGGCATTCTACCTGGCATATCTTCTGCAATATGTTCTGGCATATCTTCTGGCATATCTTCTGGCATTCTATCTGACATTCTATCTGGCATACCTTCTGGCATTCTATCTGGCATATCTTCTGGCATTTTATCTGGCATATCTTCTGGCATTCTACCTGGCATATCTTCTGCAATATGTTCTGGCATATCTTCTGGCATATCTTCTGACATTCTATCTGGCATTCTATCTGGCAAATGTTCTGGCAAACATTCTGGCACTTTATCTGGCATATCTTCTGGCATTCTATCTGACATTCTATCTGGCATACCTTCTGGCATTCTATCTGGCATATCTTCTGGCATTTTATCTGGCATATCTTCTGGCATTCTATCTGGCATATCTTCTGGCTTCTGGCATATCTTCTGGCACTCTATCTGGCATATCTTCTGACATTCTATCCATATCTTCTGACATTCTTTCTGGCATTCTATCTGACATTCTATCTGGCATACCTTCTGGCATACCTTCTGGCATATCTTCTGGCATTCTATCTGGCAAACATTCTGGCACTTTATCTGGCATATCTTCTGGCATTCTTTCTGACATTCTATCTGGCGTTCTATCTGGCATATCTTCTTGCATTCTATCTGGCCGTTGAGGTCCAGCGGTGCTCACTGAGCTCGGAGGGTCCCAGGTTGAGGTCCAGCGGTGCTCACTGAGCTCGGAGGGTCCCAGGTTGAGGTCCAGCGGTGCTCACTGAGCTCGGAGGGTCCCAGGTTGCGGTCCAGTGGTGCTCACTGAGCTTGGATGGTTTCAGGTTGAGGTCCAGCGGTGCTCACTGAGCTCGGAAGGTCCCAGGTTGAGGTCCAGCGGTGCCGAGTGCGCTCAGACCCTTGCAGTTGAGGTCCAGCAGTGCCCACTGCGTGCGGAAGTTGGTGAAGAGCTTGGCGAAGAGTTGGCAAGGCGGAAGTGAACATGGGAGTGGATGCAAAGGTGGTGGAGGAGAAGCTGGAGGAGAGGGAGGAGGAGGAGAAGGAGGTGGAGGATGAGGAGGAGGAGGAGGAGGCGGAGGAGGAGAACACCTGTCATAAAATCTAACAAGCCTCACCTGGCAGGTGGGGAATAATTTGCTCAAAACAATCCCAGTCTTGACCAGCAAGTCATATCAAGCTAATCGAAAATCTGAGATCCAGGTTGGACCCAAGTTTGATCAGACTGACCAATGTAGATACCGAGGACATCTTCATTTCGCACACCTGGGCCTCTGGAGGGTGGTCCAAAGCTCTGTCGCTGTTGATGCAAAGTGGCTGCGGCGTCGCTTTGATCTTTTGGTTCTTCGAAGACTTGGAGAGACTTTGAAAAACAGAGAGGATCCACCGATGGGACCCACTTTGATTGTTGTAACTTGCTTCTCTTCAGTTCCGTTTGACTTTCTTTTCTGCAGCGATGTTGGCCAGAAGAGTTTTTTTTTATGTCCAAGTGCTGCACTCTAAGGAATAGTACTTGCCGCCTTACTTTGTCACGCAGATATTTTGCCCATGCCCCTCAGATATGCTCCTGGCACAGAAAGGTTTTCAGAAGTTTGTCCATTGGGACCTTGGGTGATGATTTTGGGTACCTTCGGGACACTTGTGGGCTTGATGCTTTCGCCATATTGTCCGCGTTGCAAACCGATGGACACTTGCTTCATAGATGCAGCTTGCGTTCACCAGGCGGATGAGACACTGATGAAAAGAGGTATTCATGGCATCGGAGGTTTTCTGTTAGTTTCAAAGGAACTTCGCATCATTTGGAGCCCCGTGTATTTCACCCGTTTGTGGTGTGCTGCTTTGCTTAAGATTCAGGAATTTGTTTTTTTGGATAGTATGTATATATATATATATACATATACATATATATATATATACATATATATATATATAGATATATATTATAGATAATGATAGCTAGTCTCCTAAGTTTCGGTGAGGGTAGTCAATCCTACCACAGCCAGAAGATTTGCGCACATAGTTGTTCAGATGAATGAGTATTCTATGGCAGTTCCAAGTCTTCATGAAAGCACAGCATGGAAACGCATCCTTCTAGTCTAGGTTTTCGAAGTCGCTACTTACAAGAAGTTGAATCCTGATGGTGCGGTTGTTCTGGCGCCAATTTTCTTGGAGACTGTTGTGGTCCTTTTCTATGCGTCAAATTTGCTTGGTGCAGCTGCTTACTTTGTCATCCGTAGCAGTGGTGCTGGAAGCCACGTCGCTGTAGCTGCAGTGCCCCTTTGTTGTTTACCATACCTGATCACTATCCACAACCTGCGGAAAAAATATGTACAAAAGCATCGGCTATTTGCACAGTTTGAGAACTTTGACTTGGACTTAGTGGAATGTTCCAATGAATCGGACCGCAACTTTGTCTATGCCGCCATTACTCAACTGTATGGCAGCAAGGAGGCCTTCACTAGCTATGTGAAAGGCCCCCTTCGAGAGGAACTTTTGCTCCCAATTGCTTACAGTGTTGGGCCTCAAAGGTACGCACTATTGATTGAATCGCCCATAGCCAGCATGTTGGTAGATGTTGTCATTGCACTGTGGAAGGGCAGGGCTCCGTTTGATGTGATCCTTCTCTATGCAGTGTCAATACTGTTTCTGGGAATATTTCTTCTTAATCGAACGTCCTTCAGTCTTGCCATGCTTCTGAGCGATCACTTTGCGGAGCCTGCGTGTTCATCGATCTGCGTGGACTCTTGACCGCAGGGGCTGCAGCAACAAAGGCCAGATTGCGGGATTCCACCCCCACAGATCGGATTTGAGAGATTTTCTGAATTTTCTGTTTTTGATGCTTTTTCGGGTGCTTTGTGCCGGGCTGGCTAAGGGATTTGATAGGCTGATGCAGCAACAGAAGTTCCAGGGCAATTTCTTTGCTTCTATGGCCTCAAGTAATTGGTCTTCAGAAGCCAATTTAAGGACTTACTGCAGACATTTCTGATCTTCCTCGTCTTTCTGCTACATTTTGTGCTCGGCAGCATGCTGTGCTTGGCAGCATTCTTCACCAATCAGTGGTTTCTCTTGCCAGGCAGATGGCATGGCATGGGAGTCGGGAGGGGGGAAGAAGTTCTGAGGTCAAAAACCAGAAATGAGGCCAGTGACCAGGACTGACTAACATGGACTACCACCAGAACAACACATTCTTGGATTCTTGCGCCGACAGCAGGATTGCGTGACAATCGTGGTGTTGATTCGCTGTTGATTTGCTGTTTTTTGGTGTTCACTCGGTGTTGGCTCGGTGTTGGCTCGGTGTTGATTGTTTTGATAATATGTGTGCCCATGGGATAATAATGATAATATGGTTACGCATGGGATACATTTGGGTACATGTTTATGAGCGATATGTTGATTGCAGATGTGATGGTAGGCATTTTCATCTTCTTTGTCTTGATGCATTTCGCTGTCGCGTGGTTACAGCGCAAATCGAACTCTCGTCGGCTGACATCGGCAGCCTCATAATAGGAAACCTCCATGGTTTTGGACCTCAAGGTCCAGTCTTCAATTTCCCGAAGGGAAATGAGTCATGTTGTCATGTGTTTTGCAAGTTTGACATAAATTGCCCAGTTGGAGGTTGAAAATGCTCCCGTATTTGGAGCAGGCTGAAGCCTCGAGTCGCTGCAAACACCGCAGGTCATTATAATTAGGTCCTGCATTGCCATACTAATTACCATTAATTATCATACTAATTCTAGTTTAATTATCATACTAATTACCATTGCCATGCTAATTACCATTAATTATCATACGAATTATCATTTAATTATCATACTAATTATCATTTAATTGTCATACTAATTACCATTGCCATACTAATTACCATTAATTATCATACTAATTGTCATTTAATTATCGTACTAATTATATACCATTGCCATACTAATTACCATTAATTATCATACTAATTACCATTGCCATACTAATTACCACTAATTATCATACTAATTATTTTTTAATCATCATACTAATTACCATTGCCATACTAATTGCCATTAACTATCATACTAATTATCATTTAATTGTCATACTGATTACCATTGCCATACCAATTGTTATTAATTATCATACTAATTATCATTTAATTATCATACTAATTTCCATTCATTATCATTTGATTATCATAGATTATCATTAATTATCTCGTGATGACATCGAATAAAACGAGTGACCTTGACCAGTTCACCGGCAAATGTTTCGACCTCATGGGTGTTGAGCCACAATTCCCTGGCATTCTGTATATTCTGCCAGAGGCATCAAAGGTTTCCTGTGCAGTCTCTGATCGCTTCGCGACTTCTTGAAGGTTGAATCCTCGGGGTCCAAAAAAGAGCTGTGCCATTGCAGTGCCGAGCAATGCAGATCTTCAAATCGCAAGAAATGCAGCTGTAAAGATTCAGACCGGGCGTTATGGAATATTGCTGTATGTTGCCGTAATTACTTGTCAATTCCGATGACCGGGAAAAGGGATGAAAAGGGTATAGTGCTATTTATTTTATTTATTTGACACAGTGTAATATATTAACATCATGTAATGATATGCAATGTTGTGATACTGCAACAAGTACTTGTATGGAACAAAGTTCGCATTCAGTAAGCCTTTGCCCACACTTGTGAAACATGGTGAAACATGGTGAAACTCTTTTCTCAGAGGGCCACGTCGGCTCAAGCCGTGGGCGCGGCCAGGTTTCACCATGAGTTGTCTTCAGAACTGCTGTGAGCAAGAACTTGACCCGCTTGACCCGCTTGACTTCAGAACACCAGTCACTGAGAGTGCAGAGACATCTGCGGTCGAATTTGAGCCAGAATTGGTGGCCAACGGTGATGGCCCCAACGGCCTTGGAACGATGTGTTCTGTGAACATGGCCATGTCCTGTTCCGAAGTGCAGGAAGCACTTGGAGAAGCGTCTTTCCAGTCCCACGTTTCTGATCGGATCCGTGAAACGGATCTGGAGATTCTGCGTGGCATCACCCTTCGAGAGTCGCTGTGCAGGGGCGCAAGTATGTGGCGAAAGAATCCTGAGCAGCTTCTCTGAATATCTCTGAATATCTCTGAATATCTCTGAATCGGTACTTCTTTGATGATCTGGTGCCATTTCACCATAAGCCACTGTCAGGCGAATCATTGCTCCCCCAAAGTCGACTTCAGACATGAGATTCACCCTCAGGTGGCCTTACAACAGGAAGTCCCCCAAGAAAAGGTGTCAAGTGTTGAGTCACTTCAATTCAGGACGTTTCGCGACCTGTAGGGTCTGTGCCAATTGCAATAGAAGCATTGTAGGTTAATTGTTCCTAGCTTCGCAATTTCTCCCTGTCATCAACGGTGTAGACATGGTAGGCGTCCTGCTAAGCATCCTACTAGGCATCCTGCTAAGGCATCTGTCAGTCAGAGCTCGGGAAGCATTATTTCAAAAGTCGCAGCTTGTGAAGCATTTAGATACTCAGCTGCAAAATTCCAGAAAATAGTCAGCACTTAGGATCTCATGGATCTCATGCATGGATCAAGTAGATATATTCTCGTCGCTTCGCGACGAGAACCGCCCGCTCCCAGAGAATTGGATAGAGAGGAAAGGAGCGGGCGTACTTGGCCAACCAAAGCCGACTGGGATCAAACCTGGCCATCCTTGGGGCCCAACTTAAGGGCCCAACTTGAGCCCAACTGGTGTCGAAGATGGCGCAATTTGCGCACGTTTGGAGGCAAGTTGGGCTTAGCATGCGCAACTTGGTCCTGTGTGGGGGCATCTGGCGCCGAAGTTGGGGCCAAGACAAGCCCAATGTGGCATAGGCTCGCACAAACCCCCATCAAAGCAAAAAAACGATGGAAATAGCAGTAAAAATGCAAGTTTTCAACACGTCGCATTGGGTCCGCAAAATTGGCTCGGGTTGGGCCCAACCTGGCCCTTGGCTGCCCTGAAAACTTGGGCCCAAGTTGCGCTTGGCGCCAATTCTGAAGTTGGGCCCCAAGCGATCCAGATGGATTCCAAATTGAAGCCATGTGGCTTCACACCGAGTTGGGCCCAAGGGAGACATGACATGGGGAACATTGCTTCAAACGAAGCCTCATCGATAGCCAAAAAACGTGGGACGGATTGGGCCGGTCATGTCCCCCATTTTGAAGCCATATGGGCCTATTATACCTTATTACACCTTGCCTCTGAATTTCATTCAACCCACGGATAATAGGGGACCCATACTCATACCCTAGCCTTCCCCGACTATTGTTTAAATAACTTCCTGCAAAGGTCATTTTTCAACAACAACAACAACAACAACAACCACAACCACAACCACAACCACAACCACAACCACAACCACAACAACAACAACAACCACAACCACAACCACAACCACAACCACAACAACAACAACAACAGCAACCACCATATTTTGCATTATATAGCCATTCTTTGCCTGAGGCCTAGCCCAAGAACCGTAGACAAACCGTAGACAAACCGTAGACAAATCATATTATAGACAAACAGTAGACAAACCGTAGAACGAACATTTTTTGCGTAGAAAATTTATCCGCAGAAATTAGCTTAAAACTTAAAATTGAAAAGCCCGCATCCCAATCAAGGGACAAACACAGGGCCGTCTTCTGAGCAAAACATAGGCTTTCCGCCAAAAACTGTTTTTGCAACACCGACCATATTTGAACAAAAACCTGATGAACGTATGGTCCGTAATGGTCGGAAACGACGGGCAATCTACAACCAGGTCTCCACAGGAGGAAAGTTCCTGAATCACAGGATATCACAGGTGGGACGTCGTGAAAAAATCATGAGAAACTGATCGAAACTGCATGCGCATGAAATTAAGAAGTTTGCAGATCAGCTCATATATTATCAGTTCTGCACGGAGTGTTCCGCGTGTTCCGATCCTAGCTTGCATATATGTTTAAACACATTTCGTATGATAACTTTAACATATAGTTTGCATATATGTGCTTAAACTTAAACAAATGTCGGGTGATAACGTAAACACGAGGGCCTGCAGCAGAGTCAGTTCAGGTTGTTCAAAATAATGAATCCATGTTCTGTTCATCCTTAGAACATGCAATGCTCGTGTAGAGGACTCCATAGCATTCCATAGCCCATGACCCAAAGGACCTGGGCAAGGCGTTGACCAAAACTGAGGACATCTTCGTTTCGCACACCTGGGCCTCTGGAGGGTGGTCCAAAGCTCTGTCGCTTTTGATGCAAAGTGGCTGCGGCGTCGCTTTGATCTTTTGGTTCTTCGGAGACTTGGAGAGACTTTGAAAAACAGGGAGGATCCACCGATGGGACCCACTTTGATTGTTGTAACTTGCTTCTCTTCAGTTCCGTTTGACTTCCTTTTCTGCAGCGATGTTGGCCAGAAGGGTTTTTTTATGTCCAAGTGCTGCACTCTAAGGAATAGTACTTGCCGCCTTACTTTGTCACGCAGATATTTTGCCCATGCCCCTCAGATATGCCCCTGGCACAGAAAGGTTTTCAGAAGCTTGTCCATTGGGACCTTGGGTGATGATTTTGGGTACCTTCGGGACACTTGTGGGCTTGATGCTTTCGCCATATTGCCCACGCTGCAATCCGATGGACATGTGCTTCATAGACGCAGCTTGCGTTCAGCAGACAGATGAGACAATGATGAAAAGAGGTATTCATGGCATCGGAGGTTTTCTGTTAGTTTCAAAGGAACTTCGCATCATTTGGAGCCCCGTTTATTTGACCCGTTTGTGGTGTGCTGCTTTGCTTGAGATTCAGGAATATGTTGTTTGTTTAGATGGTTAGATAGTATAGCTAGATATACTCGTGTAGCTAGTCTCCTACACAGTGGAAGTTCCGGCGAGGATAGTCAATCCTACCACAGCCATAGAATTTGTAGCATTTGTGCACATAGTTATTCAGATGAATTGCGGAAGTTCCAAGTCAGCATGAAATCACAGCATGAAAATGCATCCTTCTAGCCTAGGTTTTCGAAATCGCTACCTACAAGAAGTTGAATCCTGATGGTGCGGTTGTTCTGGCGCCAATTTTCTTGGAGACTGTTGTGGTCCTTTTCTATGCGTCAAATTTGCTTGGTGCAGTTGCTTACTTGTTCATCCGTGGCAGTGGTGCTGGAAGCTATGTCGCTATACCCGCCTTGCTCCTCTGTTGTTTACCATACCTGATCACTATCCACTACCTGCGGAAAAATTATGTACAAAAGCATCGGCTATTTGCACAGTTTGAGAACTTTGACTTGGACTTAGTGGAATGTTCCAATGAATCGGACCGCAACTTTGTCCATACAGCTATTACTCAACTGTATGGCAGCAACGAAGGCTTCACTAGCTATGTGAAAGGCGCCCTTCGAGAGGAACTCCTGCGCCCAATTGCTGGCAGTGTTGGGCCTGAAAGGTATGCGCTATTGATTGAATCTCCCATACTCAGCATGTTGCTGGAATTTTGCATTGCGCTTTGGAAGGGCGGGGCTCTACCTGATGTGATCCTTCTCTATGCAGTGTCACTAGTTCTGGGACTGTTGTTTCATCATCGAACGGCCATCAGTCTCGCCATACTTCTGAGCGATCACTTTGCGGAGCCTGCGTGTTCATCGATCTGCGTGGAGTCTTGGCCGCAGGGGCTGCAGCAACAAAGGCCAGGTTGCGGGATTCCACTCCCCACAGATCGGATTTGAGAGTTTTTCTGTAATGTTGTATCCTGATTAGCGTAGGGCCCCCCCAAACAATTTTGGGGGTCTCTTTAGGCTAGGTGCTTTTGAGGGCTCGGGGTCTGAATGATTTTGGATCAATTGGTTTGTCTTGATTTCAACTGGTTTCAATCTACTTTCAATTGATTTTTGATTTTTATTTTGTTTTCAATTGGTTTCAAGTTACTTTCAATTTATTTCAAGTTACGTTCCATTGGTTTCAAATTATTTTCAATTGATTTCAATTTGCTTTCAATTAGTTTCGGTTTACTTTCAGTTGATCTCAGTTTACTTTTAGTTGATTTCAATGTACTTTCAATTGATTTTTGATTTTCAATTTGTTTTCAACTGGTTTCAAGTTACTTTCAGTTGATTGTCAATTTACTTTCAAATGATTTCAATTTACTTTAAATTGATGTTCAATTGATATCAGTTTATCTTCAATTGAAATCCCATAGAAATATCATAGAAATTTCATGGAAATCCCATATGAATCCCATAGCAATCCAATAGAAAGATCATAGAAATACCATGGAATATCATGGTAATCCCATTGAAATATCATAGAACTATCATGGAAATCCAATAAGAATCCCATAGAAAGTCCATAGAAAGATCATAGAAATATAATGGAAATAGTATAGAAACCACAAAGAAATTCCACAGGAACCCCATAGAAACATCATAGAATTGTCATTGAAATCCTACAGGAATCCCATGGAAATTTCACAGAAATCCCTTAGAAATCACCATAGGATTCCCAGAGAAAAACCGAAGAAATCATTCAGAAATCCCATGGAAACATCATAGCATTATCATGGAAGTCCCATAGGAACCCCATAGAAAGATGATAGAAATACCATGGAAATATCAGAGAAATAGCATGGATATATCATAGGGACCACAAGAAATACTGTAGGGACCCCTAGAAATCACATAGAAATATCATAGACATCCCATAGGAATCCCATAGAAATATCATAGACTTATCAAGGAAATCCCAAAGAACTACCATACATATCCCATCGAAATACCATAGAAATACCATGGAAATAGTTTTGGACCCCCATAGGAATCCCATCGGAATCCTATAGACATCCCGTGGAAAACCCATAGGAATGCCATAGAAATTCCATAGACATCCCTTTGAAATCTGACAGAATTTTCATAGAAAGACTATCGAAATCACATAGAAACTTTTTGGCAATCCCATAGAAACACCATAGAAATCAAGGAGATGATGCCAGGAGAATTCAACTCAATAAGAGACAAATCTATAGCCAAGGAAAGGGTGAAGGGATGAGTGAAAATTTGCGGTTGGAACACGCAGTGTGGAGTTAACAAATGAATGAAGTTCAGCTGGCGGGTGGTGGATGAGACCCTACTCTTGACTCTCGAGATCGATTGCATTTCCTATCACTTGCCCCATTGTGTGTCATTTTGGCTCATAGTGCCATTGACAGGGGCAACCTTTGAGACTCTGTCCATGGCATGTCGGCCTCGCTGGTGCTCTGGTAGCCATATCCTCATCTTGCTGCTGGGCCTATCATCCATCTGGGGTTGCTGGTGGTGCTTTGCCTTTTGTGGGAAATTCTCTGCCTCTGGGCCTACTGGGTGAACCGTCCACGAAGGCTCACTGAGATTCACCTTCCATTTGCGCAACGAGTCAGCCTTCACCATGGACCCTGATGAAGCCACCAAAGCTACGTTGACTACCGTAGATGCGGTGGCACAGTGGGCTGGCTTGGCGGGACCCCTGACAGAGGTCAATTCCCCTAGACAACGCCTGTTCACTTTGTTCCACGCACCATCGGCAGCCTTCCGGCAGCAGATGTTCAAGCAGCCATCGCTGGCTGGCGCATCCCTGATGCAACAGGGACAGGGGTGGCTCCCACAATCGCACAACTCGGTCAAGCCAAGCTGGAGTGTGGGCAAGGACATGCCGCTTCCTATGTGGCCTGGAGGGCCAAGCAGTGGCAGCACCTACGCCACAAGCGGTGACACTTCCTTCAACCGCCAACGCGAGGAAAGTCCAGTTATCCCAGGTCATCAACCAAGCCGACGAGGAGGAAGTGGAGGTGCTGGATCAGAATGCCATCAACAGCATACAAAGCCTACAAGGACAAGATCGGAGGTTTCCCACCAGACGATGAAGAGCTGTCTGCTGAACAACTCACCTCCTTGCATGCACTCTTCCAATCAGGAAGGATTCCTTACACTGACATGGCTGTTTGGGGGCCCTTCCATCACCGAATACAGAAGAAAATCAAGATAAAGGGCGTCAGATTCAACTCAGCAGGTGAAATTCTGCCGGTCGAATTATATGGACCGCCAGATTTTGAATCTTGGCGTGAGTGCTACATGGTGTTCAGAACAGGAGCAATCATGTTCGAGCAGATCAGCCCAGCAAAGCTCGACGGCTACGAAAAGCGCATCAGGCACTTTAGTGAAAGATACGGCAAGACCTGTCGGCCTATCATTTTTCAGGCCGACGTGAGGGCCCGGTTGGAGCATGCAGAGAGACTCCGAAGGATGGGACAAGAAGCCTATGAACGAGCACAGCAAGCTGGGCTCAATCATCAGTTCAACCCACAGAAACCATGGGAATGGGTTTGGGGGTGAGCTTACGATGGAAGTGCTTGGATTCTGGCAAAGAGAAGTGACGGAGCCTTGCATGCTCTACCTGGCGAAGTCCACAAACTTGCAAGCCTTGGTGGAGGATGATGCACCTATCAGTAGACAGCGTGAGGTCATCACTACGTCCACCAGCTCAATGCCTTCACAACCCTCTCAAGCTGCACGACCAAGCAAACGTGCACGGGGCCCGGACATCAGAGAGCACAAGGTTGGAGAAGACGGCAACTACAATAATTACCCACAACAGAAGGGGAGCTGAGTTGTGCAGAATGTTCCAATCTGGTGAGTGCACACAAAAAGACGGGGCTACTGCGCCAAGAATGGCAACAGAAGACATCAATGCTCCAAATGCCTATCAGAGCTACATGGCGCCCAGCAATGTCAGTCAGAAGGACCGAAACAGCCGAGAGCCAACCACGGTAAGAAAGGCCGTGGAAAGGGCAAGAAGTGACACGAGGAAGCGCAATCAGTGCATGCGAATTCAGGAGTGCGAATGAAGACTGAACTGAAACGGAACAGTTTGAGGGACACTTCAATCGATGATACAGGATCGACGCTGGGCGCAGAAGCTGCCGAGGGTCGGTCACAAGAATCCAATGCAAGCGGATGCATTTTGCATCTGTTCAGCGGGCCGCGGCATAGACCAGATGGGCTTGCTGCAAAGTTGAAATCATTGGGTTGGCTATGCATTGAATATGATGTTGTGAACGGGCCTAGAGAAGATCTCACCAATGACTATGCCTGGCAGCAGGTGAAGAATGACAGTGAACGGTCGCTACGATGGGCTGATAGCAGGACCACCCTGCAACACCTACACCAATGCCCGAAAGAGCGATGGGGTGGGACCACTGCCGTTGAGGGGTCCCTCTGGAAAGAGCAGATATGGTTTCCCCCACCTGATTGGTGAAGACAAGGAGAAGGTTAGAGTCGGCACTTTGCTGGCACAGAGAACTGCAGAGGCAGTGGGCTTGTTTGAGGAGCAGGCCAAACCATCAATAACAGAACAGCCCAAGTGGAAGAAAGACAATGACAGCGTGTCAATGTACAACCTGGATGAATTTCAAGCATTCAAGGAAAGCCCAAACTTTGAATTCGTAGACCTGGTGCAATGCGAATATGGGGCCAAAACCACAAAGCCAACCACTCTGCTGCAAGGGAGAATCAAGAAGTATGAGGTTAAGCCGCTTTGTACGCACCAAAAGCGTCTCTGGCAAAAGCCAAGCACTGTTGAGAAAATCTGGGCACCACATCCGCCTCTGATAGGTAAGGAGTGGTTCATAGAAGCGGAGCTGTGGCAATCTACCATGCTGCTCTCTCCGCAAGATAGAAGGAGGAGAGAGGCACACATGCCGTTCCTCACCAGCGCTGCACAAGCTTACCCAGAAGGGTTGAACTAATGGCTGGCCAGGACCATCACCGAGAATGTGGAGCCGCAGAAGACTTTGAATTGCCTGTATCGCAACAGGGCAGGTGGAACAATGTCCTGACAAGGCTACGGGCTGATGAAGACGAGGTTACCGTCCGCACCAAAGTCCGAATGACAGCTCCTTTGCGAGGCCAACCAACAGTGTTGGACGAGCATGTTGATCATCTCTGGGAAGCAATGAGGAACCCAAAGAAGATCAGCAGAGAGTTGCCCGGGTACAGGGTGGCAGGACACAAAGTATACCAGGTTCTGCAGCAGCACTTGCAGTAGCATCCTGAACTAGAATCCATATGCCTCCAGGCTATTGGGAGCCAAGATGAGGAGGCAGGACCCACTGAAGCACAACAGGAGCAAGTTGCAAAAAGACTTAAGGAAGCCTTCGCAGACCACCCGCAGAGTAACCAAATAGGCTTGCACACTAAGCTGAGGGCTGACATACTGTGGATGTTGGCGAGAGCCGCGGGCGACCCAGATGCCGATGAAATTCATGACTGGCTGACACAAGGCGCTCCGGCGTATCGCGCGCCCAGTACTGGATCCAGGCAACATCTTCCCAAGAGATGCAACCCCACTGGATGAGCCAGAGATTGAATTGCCGGACCCCATCAGTCACAGCAATTACAGCTCTGTCGATGGGGATGACATGGCAGCACCAGAAATCGAGAGATTGATATCCACTGTTTTCGTCAAAGCCTTTGGGGACCTTCCACAATTCCAGAACTGGTGGGGCGGCAAACCTCATCTGTCCAAACTTGGGATGATAACCAAAGAGAAAGGAGGCCGAGTGAAGAGACGGCTCATCTTGGATTGCAAAGCTTCAGGCGTGAACATGCGTGAACAAGAGAGCTACAAAAGGTGGAAAGTTGGTGCTGCCAAGAGTCAGCGACACAGTGGGTGATGCGCTCCACCTTATGAAGCAGTGCACCATAGGCCAGCAGATCGAGTGGCTCACACCCGACTTTACCGACTGGTTTTTCAACATACCGTTGCGCCCGGACGAAAGGATCCCATCCTGTTTGTACTTCACTGGATACGACGGCATTACCAGAAAATATATATGCTTGGTGGGAGGGTGGGAATAAACGGAATGATTGTTACCTCAAAAAAAGGCTGTGCACAATAGAGGACCACCACAACAAACATACTAGTGAGGATCATTGTTGATCATGGGCTACCCCCTTGAAAAATTGTTTGGGTGCTGTTTTTAAATGGTGTTTTAATAAGGCATCCTTTATTTTGGGAAATCAGATGTTTTGAGAATTCCAAAAGACTGGAACTAAGAAAGTAAAACAAAAAGGCTTAAGAAAAGGAAATGATTAAAGGAATGTTTGAAAAAAACATCGCCCCAGCAAAAAACTGGACACAATAGAGGACCACCACAACAAACGTACTATTGAGGATCAATGTTGCTCATGTGCTACCCCCTTGAAAATTGTTTGGGCGCTGTTTTTTTTTTAATGGTGTTTTAATAAGGCATCCTATATTTTAGGAAATTAGACATTTTGAGACTTCCAAAAGAGTGGAACTAAGAAAGCAAAACAAAAAGGTTTTAGCAAAGGAAATAATAAAAGGAATGGTTGAAAAAATCACACCAGAAAAAACTTGATACAATAGAGGACCACCAAAACAAAAGTACTATTGAGGATCAATGTTGCTCATGGGCTACCACCTTGAAACTGGTTTTTCTTTTTTAATTGTGTTTTAGTAAGGCATGCTTTATTTTGGGAAATTAGATGTTTTGAGAATTCCAAAAGAATGGAACTAAGAAAGTAAAACAAAAAATAGCAAAGGAAAGGATAAAAAAAATGTGTTCTTTCATTTTTTTATGCTCAAAAACATGTTGCAATATAAGTAGGTGATTATTTACAAAATGATTAAAATCTCAAAAAATGACAACCAAAAAACATGTCGAAAAAATGTCCTCAGGGAAACATTTTTCACAAAACCGACCCACCCCAGCAATTCCACTGGTTAAGAATTATTTTGGGAAAACTTGTCACTAGACCGACCCACCGTACTAATCAGGATGCGACATTATTTTTCTGTTTTTGATGTTTTTTTGCTTTTTGGAGAGCTTTGTGCAGGGCTGCCCAACATCTAAGGGATTTGATAGGCTGTTGTGACAACAGAAGTTCCAAGGCAATTTCTTCGCTTCTAGGGTCTCAAGCAATTGGTCTTCAGAAGCCAATTCAAGGACTTACTGCAGACATTTCTGATCTTCCTCGTGTTTCTGCTACATGTTGCGCTCGGCACTGCGCTGTGCCAGGGAGCATTCTTCACCAATCAGTGGTTGCTCTTGCCAGGCAGATGGCATGGCACGGGAGTCGGGAGGGGGGAAGGAGTTCTGAGGTCAAAGGCCAGACTTGATACCAGGACTAACTAACATGGACTACCACCGACTAACATGGATTAACTACCACCAGAACAAAACATTTTTGGATTCTTGCGCCGGCAGCTGGATTGCCTGAGAATTTTGTCATGTCATGGTGTTGATTCGGTGTAAATTCGGTATTGATTGTTTTGATTTATGGATATATATATAAATATACATGGATACCATTGGGTACCCAAGGGTACATGTTGACAAGCCAGATTTTGTTGATTGCTTTGAGATGCCATGGTAGGCATTAGCATTCTCTTTGCGGTGGCGCATTTCGCTGTGATTTGGTTACAGCGCAAATCGAACTCTCGTCGACTGACATCGACAGCCTCATAGCAAAACTTCCACTGTTTTGGACCTCAAGGTCCAGGCTTCAATTTCCCGAAGGGAAATGGGTCATGTTGTCATGTATTTTGCGAGTTTGACATAAGTTGCCCAGTATCCTTGGGGTCAAAAAAGAAGCGCCATTGCACCATGGCATGTGCCGAACAATGCAGACCTTCAAATCGCAAGAAATGCTTCTGGAAAGATTTAGACCGGGCGTTATGGAATATTGCTGTATAAATGGGCTAACGCCCTGGTGCCGCCGACCCTCATTTTGAGGGCCATGGTTATCCAATGTTATCCTACATGCCTTCGAAAGCTGCTGCGAAGGTTTTGAGGGTTTTAAGGGGTGCCCAAAACGTGCCACGTAGCAGTTTCGAAGCCCAATAGAAACAGCTTGTGGGGCCTAGGGAGGTGCCATGGCAAAGCAGGCCCCCTTGCTAAAACGAAATGAAATGCAAATCAATTGTTAGAAGTTTTACATCTCTTCAGATGTTTCACACACACAATGCATCGATGCACTATTCAGCATGCGGCTGTAGAATCAACAATTTGACCAACATCAAAACTCCAGCTGCAGGGGTGGTGGAACCTGATCCCCCACTCTGCAAGACACAGCGATGATACATTATACTGTACAGCATTGGTGGCTTTGCAGTGAATCAAGAGATTTTTTTCAATCTTTGTGTTGCCGCAACAAGTCCTTCGAGATTCAATCGTTGGGACCAAAAAGCAGCTGTGCCACTATGTGCCACTGCTGCACTGCTGCGCTGCCACTGCTGTGCAGCTGAGAAGGGGACACAGACAGCACTTTGGACACATTTGTTGCAGGTGGAAGCATTCAGGTTGGGCGTAGAAGACGTGCGCTGCTGAGATCGGAGTGCACGGAGTGATGAAGAACAGAAGTAGAGACCAATGTTCGAGGTCAAGCTCATGATTCGTCAGATTAAGATTTATCAAGCATTATTAGTGATCAACAAGCTACATGCATACCATGAATATCTATATGTTTCTTTGAGAAAGTATTTTTGTGTATTGTATCTGCCATGTTACCATGTTCTGTTTTTTGTTGTCACCGGGTAACCAAATCTATGTGCTAACTGCTCGCCGCAGGTTTGTGATTCAACGGCGATTTGGGCTTTCGAGGCTGAAGAGCTTCAGGACGAAGTCCTACAACGGACGAACTCGGCACAGGCGTTTTTTATTGTGAGGACCAGATGGTGTATCAATCAGTTGATGTTTTCATGAAATATATCAAAAACAAATTATATATATATATATATATTATGTATATATATATTAAATATATGTTAAATATATATATATTTATTTAATATATGTTATATATATATTATATATATATTAAATATATTTTAACGTGTTTAATATATATTAAATATATTATATATATATATTAAATATATATTAAGTATATAATTATATAAAAATATATATATAAAATATATATTAGATATATTATATATATAGATTGAGTATATACATGTATTATATAATATTTTAAGTATTATATATATATTTAATATAATATTATATTCATATATATATATATATATGTATATTACAGTATATTATATTAAATATGTATATATCATGAACAGTCTTGCACCATCATGAAATCATTCTATGAGTGGTGAAGTGATTTTGTGTCTGAGACACCATGCAGATGACCATTGCACGGGGCAGGAGCTGATGTGTGGGGCAACAGCACCGCAGTGGACGGAGAAGGCCGTGGATACACCCTTGGTTTCCGGTCAAAATCAGATGGTGAAAACCTATGGAAACCATATAACCATATTATGGAAACCTAGTGGTATACCAGTAAAATCCGGTGTACCACCATGATACACACAAAATTGCTACTGGACCCGCGAATTTGAAGCATATCCAGCTGTCAACGACAGGATTTGAAGCAGCACCTGAAGTTCCGCGGGGGTTCCAACACGGTATAGCCCTTGGCAGTGTGGCACTTCACGGCAGACAGCTTTCAGCTGCTACTTTCGTTTGTCGCCAAGGGAAGTCCCCTCCTATTAATTGAGGACGCCACAATTGGTCCGTGTGGATTGACAGTTGTTTTTTTTAATCCATTTCTGTTAGACTGTTGTATCCTTTTGTGTGATCCTGTGCACGTTGTTTGGGCAGTGTATATGTTTTTGGATTGTGCAACTTGCTTTGCAGGAGCTTGTCCGCATGACACCTGAAAGAAAATCGTGAGCGAACTTGGTTTTGGACATCGTTGGACATCTTTGGACCGTTGAAAGGCACGCTTTGACATTCTAATCGCAAGTTGGACCTGCAGCAAGAAGAGTTGGCCATGAAAGACCACTTTGCGTTGAGTCTCTGATAAAAACTGTGAAATGAGGCAATTTCTTGAATTTGTCACTGCTTGTCCTCGTCTTCCACACGGAGGCCTTGCAGTCAAGACAAATGTAGCCCAAATAATTCCATCCTTTTTTATTGGAAATAGAGACACACATGACATAACAATGATTGTACATGAAAACATGAAATGTGCAGCTAATTGTATTTCTGCTGCCTTGGGATTGTTTTTTCCATCAGAGTCACTTTTGGATTTTGGGACTACAGTAAGCCAATCCAAGCCAGAGCAGAGGTCTAGCAGCCGCAGAGATCGCCGTGGTGCCAGCGCAGCCAAAGGGCAGCTTGCCACGTGCTCACACTTGCACCAATGAGTTTAAGCCTCAGTTGTTTCCCTCAGTTCCTGAGTGATGTCGAACTGTGGGATTCTGAAACAAAGAACACCTGATGCATACCTGACACATTTTTTTTTTCAACTGGTTTTTTCCAGATGTTTTCCACCTGAAGCTGTTCACAGTTCCGCACGGACTCGAAGTCAGGTTGCAGCTTCCGAGCTACGACTCGCTGGAGGAGCTCTCTGCCAAACTCCGTGAAGCCATGGACAACGCCGGAGATCTCTGGGGTCCACCATGGGCCTTTTTTGGGGATGGAGCACTGAAGAAGATGATGCCAACATGATCCAACATGCCAATGCTAAGTTCAGAGGTGTTCAAAGTAGTATTGTAAGATCTATTAAGATGTATTGTGAGTATTGTTGGCAAATAATAGTGATAATATTGTGAAATAGTGAATATGAGATGAACATTAAAACTGATCATAATATTATGAATCATGATAGATATCTCATAAAATGATCATAATATAGACTATCAGAATAGTATAAAACTGATCATAATATTATGATAGTCTAACACTATCATTGACTAGTTCCAAGGCTCGAGGCATGTACGAGTGACGCAAAACGCCTCGGTGTCTCACAACTTGGCAGCCGGGGTGCCCAGTCGTACCGATTCGTGGCCCATTTGGCCTTCCACTTTCGATCGAAAAAAACAGAAGCACTTGGAAAAGAAATCGATTGACACTGTCGATCAATTCATGATACAAAGCATATCAAAGCATAAGAATGTGACCTTTTCCAAGTAACTTAACGTAACTTATACATCCATTCAATGCATATTTTATACATTTCTATACTTGATATATATATATATAGATATTATATATAGATATATTATATATATGTATATATATATATACTTGCATTCGCATCATTTGCACAAAGACCTGACCGACCTCGGTGAACTGTGTGACATGGGCTGTGGCGTTTCTCAGGAGCTGTACAGGGCGCCAAGTGAGGCCGGCGAACATTCTATTCAACAAAAAATGTTTGTGAAGACATGGGAGGCACTTGTACATACTTGTACCATTCTGTAGACATGTTGCGATCTTGTAAACATGTGTACACATAAACATTGTGAACATGTTGCAAACATGTTGCAAACATGTATAGTGACTATAGTGTGTCATCGTTTGACCCTTGTTTGAGCCTTGCTTCTGCTCGAAGGCTGGAGACACGATGCAGCGATGTGGCTCGACGGATGTACATATGCGTGGCTCGATGCGCTCGATGCGCTCGATGCGTCGTGTGGAGCTGTTGCTCCCTATGCTCCCAGCATTAGCTCTACCCTCTCCAAACTCGAATGTGTCGTTCCCAGAACATGAGAAATTTATATGGTTTCCGAAGATTTGGACAGATTTCGAAAGATCCGGACAGCAATATATGCAATCAGCTACGACCAATTGATTGCAAATTGTAATGATTTCGCTTGGCAAGTGGGAGAGGTCTATTGGAGGTCTTTCTGGCTTCCTTTTTATCTGCGGGCTGTACAGCCAAAAGAAATCCGCTCGGAATCGATTTTGTAAGCATGTGTCAACTGCGTCCTTGATTTTTGATGTTTTTGTCGCCTTCACTTTTTTTAAGACTTTGAGACTGACAGAAATGCGACCAGTGGTTGACTCCGAAGTCTTTTTTGGCCAAAAGATCAGGACGAGCAGATAGATTGATCAGGATGCACTTGGTGCTAAGCTTCTTGGAGTTGATTATCAAGGATACTATGACACTCTAGAATGGTACGCACTAAGAAACAATTGGATATGTATATATAATGTATATATAATATGTATATATAATATGTATATAGTATGTATATATATAATATGTATATATAATATGTATATATAATATGTGTATATATATAATATGTATATATAATATGTATATATATAATATGTATATATATATATAATATGTATATATAATATGTATATATAATATGTATATATAATATGTATATATAATATGTATATATAATATGTATATATAATATGTATATATAATATGTATATATAATATATATATGTGTATATATAATGTGTATATATAATGTATATATATATAATATGTATATATAATATGTATATATAATATGTATATATAATATGTATATATAATATGTATATATAATATGTATATATAATATGTGTATATAATATGTATATATAATATGTATATATATATATGTATGTATATATGTATATGTATATATATATACATATATATATGTACATATATATACACGTGATATTGCATGATATTGTTTCTTGTCAAGTATTTCTTGGAATTCAGCATATTGGAACTGACATCCAATTCACAAGCCGTTCAGATTTCTTGTGCAGCCCAACAGATGTGCTGGCTTTGGGAAGTAGCCGCCTGAATTGATGGTGGCTCCTCAGAGTGATGCGTGAGACCCTCAGACACGGCGATGCTATGGACCAATTATGGTTGTCACATGATGCCATATGTGATCTCACACAATGTCACAAGATGTCACGTGATGTCATTGTGTGTGTGTGTTCAACCCTACCTTTTGCATATTGATGCGGTACCATAGCACAGCATGCCAGGAATATCCACCTGATGGGCATGGCTGTGAAGGCGGTGTTTGTGCTGTAGATATTGGATGCTGAAACGACAAACGAAACACTGGAGAAGGACAGACAAGACATGACGTGAATCAAGTTGGTGCCTTAGCTGCCTTAGTGTTTTGGGATTTGGATGGATTCGGCAGGGGCATCAAACTGCCTTCATGCATGGAACCCAGGGAACCCAGACATCGATGGCAGTTTTGGTGCACCAGCTGATGCCAATGTGGTATGCGTTCAATGTTCATGTGGTATGTGGTTATCCATTGCCCATTGAAGCACTGAGCCAGGCAAAGCTTGTAATGAAACGGGTGGAAATCAAGACACAAAAGACCCTCGAAGTCCCAGAAACAAGTCTGAAGAAAGACTTGTCAGGCCATGAACAGCAGCAAATCATAGCAAATCTAAAAAGAGGATTCAAAGGAAGAGATGGGGGTGCAAAAGGCTTGTCAAATCCCGAGATCTGGCGCTGCTGACTATCCACTTCGTATCAATTTGGCAATGCAACGCATTGAAGATTGTTGCACAATATTGCACAGAAAGCTACAGAAAGCTACAGAAAGGCATGGCCACCCATCATAATCCCAGACGTTTCACATTGTTTTCGATTTTTTTTAAAAAAAAATCAGCACATTCGAAATCTGGGTTTCTCATGGGTCACGCCGGCCGCACGCCTTGCCTCGGGCTGCTGCTGGTGACTCTGGTGAATGGCGGAGGCTCCGGGCTAGCTGCGGCAACGTGAGGTGAGGATGACCTTGGCCGCCTTGGCCGCCTTGGCCGCCTTGGCCGCCTTGGCCGCCTTGGCCGCCTTGGCCGCCTTGGCCGCCTTGGCCGCCTTGGCCAGAACGGAGGAAGTGGACTAAGAGCACTTCTTTCTCAACGATTTCAACACATTCAAGATATATTTCATGATATTTCATTGAACCAGGAGTAGACCCAGGTAGCTCAGGTTTCCAATTAAACTTGGCATACTTTCACTTGTGAACTTCACCGCGAGGGTGCAGTTGTCGCATCTGAGGAGTGGCTTCGCTGGATGGAAGAGCATCCGGTACCTGCCTTGCATCAGGCGACAGAGGCCATCAGCCATCAAGCTGGGTCAAGCTGGGTCAAGTGATGTGGGGATGGGTCAAAACCCTATCCCCCTGTAGTTCACATCAAAATAGCTGGGATAAATGGATGTTCATCCCCCTAAAAATGGTATTGTCATAGGTATTGATCCATAGCCTCATAGCCATGTCAAGTCCCCAATCAAGGCCGATCCAGGCAGATCAAGCGACAGCCGACAGCTGGCAGGTCCTCCGAGCTCCAGCCACAGAAGAGGTCTTGGAAGAGGCATGGCGAGAGGCCACGGATCGAGACAGACTTTGGGGAAGTGGAAACAGAGAAAAACAGAGAAAAATCATGAAGAATTTTCTGAATCCAGAAGAATCCAGAAGAATCTGGAAGAATGGCCAGAATGGAGAGATGTTCAAACATGAGGTCAGCCAGCCTCAGCTGTTGCTCTACCAGGCAGAGAAAGTTCTGGAGTCCAACGCCTGTGAAACCATCGAAGCTGTTGGGAGACTTCTCTTTCGCAGCTTGCCTGACATGCTGCAGTTTGCAGGAAAGAATGAGATAGCATAGCATATCATAGCATCGTAGCTGCTAGCTGTGTAATGAAATTGAAATCACATAGCAGTATCTCTTGGGAGGAAAATCAGAAAAAACCTTGGACAATTTATGAAAATGTGCTTTTGGTGACTTCATGATGCTGATCGTGGCTGTCGTGGCCTGTCGTCGTTTACCTGAGGTCACTACCAGCACTTGCCGGCCAGTGCACGGCAGATGGCCGAAGGTCTTGAGAAGCGCCTGCGCGACTGCGGAGGAGCAGCCTTGGAGGCGCTAAAGACAGACTTGGAATGAGCCTGATTGTGTGCACAAGTGCATCCCCAAACCCCAAAACATCCCAAAACAATCTGGTTCCATTTGGTTCCCAATTCCCCATATTTCCCCATGATTTTGAACATGTTTGAAGATTAGCCATTCTGAGGACATCTGAGGACTATTGGATTCAGCATTTTGGAAGTTGGCGGTGACAGATGTGACAGGCAGCGGCGGTGTTGCTGTTGGCCCGGGACGGTTCGAAGGCACAAGAAGCAGTCCAGCTCATGGCAGCTTCGAAGGCGGCAGATCCAGAAAAACTTCGATGATTTTCCCACTCTTTGTTGTAGGGGATTTTCTATTTAATGACATTGTCTATATACACACTATATAATTATATATTCTATATTCATAGGAGATTTCCCATCTAGTCACCTTTTCACTGCAAAAGCCTTTATAAAGACATCATTGAACAATCTTGAAAAATAATTACATCCTTTCTAGAGATGGAAAACTATACGTCTGGAGGCCCAGAGCACAGCGTTGCGCTTGACGCTGGCGCGACACAGCAACGGGGACAAAAATGCCGTTGCCGGATTGGTGGCCAGTGCCAAGCAGGTGTGGAATAGAGTGGAATGGTCCTCCACCGCTGCCACCATCAAGCGGCCAAGCGGTTTCATAATACCTCGATTGAACTGTGATGTTTTGCGTGCTGCTTGGAGGAGCTAAGCAGCTCGAAAGATGGTCACAGGATCGACGCCCGCTTGCTGTCAATGTTTGGCACCTTGGCAGTTAGTATGCAGTTAGTACGTATAGCTGTATAGCTCTAGAAACAAGGGAAACTTCTGAGACAAGCAGCTACCTTTCTAAGGCTGTTTGATGTGCCCAAATTATTCTCGTGTTCGAAAGTTTTGCTGAGGAGTTGATACTCAAAGCAATCCCATCCACATGGAATCCCTTTGAAATCCATCTGAGCCACGTTCTAAACCCTTGTGTTCATGTCAGGCAAGGGGGCCCGTGTAAGGGTCTGGCGGCCTGGCGTAAGCAAAACTGTGGTGCGCAGAAGCCAGCGTAAGCTCCGTGTAAGACAAGATATGCGCGTAAGTCAAACCTGCGCGCGCGGAAGCAAAACCTGTGCGCAATGGTGTAAGCATTTCCTTATCATTTCCTTTCTTGGTGCCAGGATGTAAGACATTTAGAACATGGCTCATCTGAAAAGCGTATGAAAATGTATGAAATCTATGGCGAATCTATGGAATCCATGGGATGGTCGCGCTCGAGGCTTCCTGGCCGCCGTGTCGGGACAGGAGTCGGAACTGGCCATGTCGGCGCTGGCTGCTGCGCAGAGTGGTCAGGGACGTGGGGCCTTGGAGGTCCGGACCATGGCCGCAAAAACTTGAGGATTTTGGATGGCGTTTGGATGTTTCTTTAAGGATTCTGATGGTTTTTTTCAAGGATTCATCTTGCTGATATAAATTGAGGCTGGTGGATTTTTTATGATTTTTTAAAAGATCGAACATGGACCATCCGAAGGAAAAAAAACACAGAAATCGAAAGAAATTCCACTGAAGTTTGTAGATGGAAGGAGCGAAACAAACCCTTGGCCGCCTTGGCCCATCTTGGCCCACTGCTTTGAGATTAGTTTGTCGAAACCATGGCTGCAGGCCACTCTTTATTCCGCCAGCATGAAGGGTCTCATACCCTTCCCGATCCTGAGCTGCAGTGTTGAACGGGAGATCCAAGTGTTTTGGGTACCAGAGATCACATAGACATTAGCAACAGCGAATACTAGTAACTTAGTATGATACTAGTTCGTAGTTCTACTGTGCTTCTAATCCGGCACCATTGCAGCACCATCCAGCACCATTGCAGCTTTCAAATCGACCCAGGCTGTGCCAGAAGATTTTCCTCTTGGAAAGGGATTTGCTCTTCCAGCCTTCTAGCTGCTTGCACAGGCGCTGCATCTTCAGATGTTTCTGTGCCATGATTGTGCTATGGATTGTATTGGAATGTATTAGATGGAAATGGATAGGCAATGGATGGGCGCCATGCGCTTGGAAAGATCGAAGGAGCTGATTTGGTGTGGACTGGACAGGTTGGAGCTGGCCGTTCTTTTGCAGCAGGGCGCGAAAGCTCTCCAGGCGCTCAGCTTACTCAGCTTGCTCAGCTTGCTCAGCTTGCTCCTTTTAGTATTCAAAAGATCTTGTTTTGTCGTTCATCAACACCAATCCTGCAGTTCAACGATGTTCTTCGAACATTCTGCTTTAACTTGAGAAACGAAAGGATGCGGGAATTCCTTCAAAGGGAGTAGAACAAGAAAGAAACTTCCTGCTTGCCAATCACTGTATGGACCCTCGAACTGTGTCATGAAAATATGGTCATGGAAAGTCAAGGTCAGTAAATAATCCTGAATCATATGAGCTGAGAGATATTGATATTCACAAGTCTACTCAGGACTTTTCATAATTTTCCATAATTTTCCATAGTTTTCTATGAATCTTCCACATGTTTTTGCAGCTGTTGCAAGCTGTCGGCGTTAGGAGCCCAGCTTCGCAGCCTCCATGGCGTTCTTGGCGCAGCTTCCGCTGGACTGTCCCGGCTTAGCCTCGGAGCTGCACCTTGGAGCTGCACCTGCAGGGACGGTCCATGGTGAGCCATAAAAATGTGGAAATGATCCATGAATTTCCATAAATGATCCATTTATATTATGGATTATGTATGATATTATGGATTATTATATGGATTATTATATGGATTATTATGGATTATTATGGATATTATGGATTATTATATGGAGTATTATGGATTATTATGGATTATTATAGATTATTGTGGATTATTATGGTAATATATTGAATTATGGTAATATGGTCATGATTTCACTTTGGGTAAACATCCAAACATATTTTTCTGATTTGCTTGGGTTTGATTAGCTTTAAGTGACTTGTATGCTGGAGGATGTCAGAGTGTGATGCCCACATTCTCCCACATGTTTTTGTTAAATATGATTTTCATGTAAATATATAATATATAATTTGGTAAATATATATAATATACATTGATAATATACATATATATACATTGATAATAATCATATTTATATACATATTGATATACATTCCACGGACATCAGACGTATCAATGCAGCTCGGCGAGGTTCGGCATGGGCGTGGCATGGCTGGAATCTCCTAATGCCAAAGCTGGCATCAAGGGCCTTGCCGGAGATCTCCATGCGGTCAGTGCCATACGCATCTCGCCATGGCCATGGCATGCCATGGCCATCAAAATAAAAACCGCTTGATTGCTGAAGATAGTGGGATATAACGGAGTATAAGGGTTTTACTAGCTGAATCTAGCTGATTTATTGGAGGCGATTTTTGCATTTTAGCTATTTATCGTTATATGTTAAATTTCAAAATTGGGGTACCTATTCCCACGGTTTTGTTCCACCAGATAGGGGATGCGTTTTTTTTGTTTTGTGCATCAAGGCAAAGGAATTCGCGCGGCAAACTACGCCTTGTCGACCCGTGGAAATTCTTCGAACAGAACTCACCACGAGGAGGTTCAAAGCGCTACACAGTTTCACATTGGGAAATTGTTTAGTCAGAGTATGTCAGACTGTGTTTGTGTGTGAATTCTCTTGGCTGGGAGAGTGAGTATATTGGAGTCTTGATACGAAATGCATGTTACTGCGGTGTCAGTTGTTTGGATTGTGCAGCTGTGTATCCATTGACCCCTCAAATTGATCAAAGACCTCTTGGCAAAGACGTTGGTGAAAACACCTTGAAATCTTCGCAACCGCCCTTTTTGAAGGTGGCGCGCGCTGCAAAGATCATCGCTGCGTTGCCCAAATTGCCACGGCGCTGTGGCAAAAAGTCCAGTCCACCACCACTGCTGCGGGCACCACAAGAAGATCCTTGGGGATGCCCAGAGGCAGTGGTGCAGACCACGTTTTTAACCGACATTTGACCAATTTTGACCATATCCTGTGGCAGTTTCTGGTCATTTCTGGTCATTTCTTGGTGGTGATATGGTGCTGATATGGTGCTGCCAGGTGACCAAAGAGGAGTTTTTCCAGAAGTGTTTGGCGCAAAGCAAACCCTGCGTGACAGCCCCAGTGCTGACAGTGCTGACAGTGCTGACAGTGCTGACAGTGCTGAAACAGAACGCAATCATACGCAATCAATGCCATTTCGGTAGCACAGGACTCGTGTTTGCCGAAGTCTTGATTCTTTTCGGTGTTTTTCTTCAGTGTCGCATGATGTCACATGTTTTGCTCGCATATTGCCATCTATATGCCATCTATTTGTTCCTCAAGCTGTTCAAACTCCGTTGAGACGTCATGAGAACGTCAAAGATGTTGACGCCATGCCGATTCCGTTGAAGTCTGGGAGCTTAGTTCGCCTGGAGGATGGCACTTTGGGTGTCCACAGTCATGGCACCCAGCTGTTGATCACAGCGCCGGGCCAAACGGGGCAGCCTTCCACGGCAGTCGCCCCAGTCGCCCCAGTCGCTTCAGTGCCAGTGATGGCCTCAGATCTTCGGAAACCATTACAAGGAGGTGGAGCAGAGAGTTTCGATTTGGTCTTAGGTCCACAAACTTCAGATGCAGTTCTGGGCGAAGAAATGTCTCAGTGTCTTTTTGAAAAAGGCTTTTGCGTCTTACGACTTTGTGGAGGGAATGGAGGTGAGGCCATTCAAGCCATGCAAGATCTGGCAGAAGATGGACAGCTCGGCCGGCTACCCGAAGAAGTTGAAGAAGGCTACTTAGGTCTTGGTGGTAAAGGCCGAGTCCTATGGCTGGATCCTGAGTCCAAACGGGACTTCCATCAACAACTGCTGGCGTTGGATCAGATTCTTGACTATTCCTCGACATCTTTTCAGCTTTTTCATGCTTTTTCAGCTTTTGCGTTGGTTTTCCCATGATTTTTCTATTTCAAGCTGAGTATCTTTTTATTGTGTTAAATCTATTTAGCTGATTTGATTCTGTGATTTTCACAATTTTGTCGTTCCCTTCAAAGCCAGGAACTTGTCCTACTTGGCTTCTGTCCTCCAGCCTTTCAGTGGTGATGTCTTCGAGAAGCCCATCAAGGAGCGAACCCCTGCCTTGTTGAGTCTATCCTTAGAAGAGGAGGAAGAGGAAGATTATCCTCAACCTCCTGCGGATGACAAGATCTTGGGTGATTTTCTGAGCACATGGCGTCGCGGTTTGGTTCGTGTGGTGCAATTCATTGGACCAAACTCCACTGCGGTTGAGCTGGAGACAAAGGAAGGTCCAGATGCAGCTGCACTGCCCGTTCAACAGGAGGTGATCAATGACCAAAAATTACCCCAAATCCTGTTGTTTGATGGTTGGTTGATGTTGATAACTCGTTTACTGAGTCAATCACAATCTATAGAAATCTATAGATTTGTATAGCCAATTTCAGCTGATTTGGATGGTTGTATCATGGCTGACATGATCTGAGCTAATCCTGAGGTCATCCGAATCACTGCAGAAGCTGGAACAATTCTACTCTTCCGCCCAGATTGTTTCACTCATTCCACCACTTGCAACGGAGAAGTCTTGAGCGTCTCAACAGCCTTCCTCTCCGAACAGCCTCGATGGTTCATCAACGCGGCAAAAGACTTCGACCCCAGCAGCTGGCTCTGTTTGGGTGGCAGCATCGCACCCAATGGACCTCCACCCCCAGAGGGACATGGCATCAATGTGTTGCATCTGGCGACACGAATGCCAGCCCAATGGGATGAGCCGGAGATGTACAACACAGGGCTCAATGCTGGTACTGATGCTGTGATTGAGGTCCCCATTACCAGATTTGATGTGAATGAGTACTTCACAGCAGATCCTGATTCAATTACCGTGATGAATCCCAAAATGAACCAACGGCACACGTCTTTTGTGGATGGCATCGAACTCTTTGACAACAAGTACTTCGAGATTTCCAGCAACGAGGCCAACAATATGGACCCCCTGCAACGACAGGTCTTAGAGGTTGGAGGGAGTTTGATGTATCAGATGGGCGTCAGCAAGAAAGTCTCCAACAAGAAATCGCATCACGTGGGCTTTTCCGTTGGCGTGGACAAGGCCGACTTTCCAACTCTCGGCTTGGGAGGTGGTGGCACCAATGCCCTGGCAATCATCGCCAATCGCTTTAGCTTCGTTTTCAATTTGAAAGGTCCGAATTACATCTGTGACACAGCCTGTTCGGCATCTCTGACAGCTACCCATTTGGCCAAGCCCTTGTTGATGGATCGGACTTGGGATGTCTTAGATTTTCATGTGGCAACCGGAACTCATCTCTGTTTGTCTCCAGGGCCATGGGTTGGATGTGCCTTGGGACATATGACTTCACCCCAGGGACGATGCTTCACCTTCGACTCGACGGCCAATGGTTACCTCCGAGGGGAGGGCACTGCTGGGATGGTGCTGAAATATGGGGACTACGATAGCAAGGGATGCATCTACCGTGCCTCCTGTGTCGGCCAAGATGGCCGTAGTGCCAGTTTGACCGCACCCAATGGACCAGCCCAGGAGGAGATCATCAACAAAGCCATCCGAGAGGCCAGGATGACGCCACCGGAATCCACCTGTTGGGAATGCCATGGAACTGGGACATCCTTAGGAGATCCCATTGAAGTCGGTGCAGTTCGAAAGGTTCAAAGAAAGACGGTGAGGCCTGAGCCTCTCATGATGTCTTCCAACAAAAGTAACATTGGACACTTGGAGGGTGGAGCTGCAATGGCAGCCATGGTGAAATGTGTGTTGGGTGTGAAACAGAACCAATGTGTCGCCTCTTTGCACCTTCGCCAATTGAATCCTCATTTGGAGCATACCATTTTCGATGCCTTCTTCGAGACCGAGCGAACTTGTTTCTCCTTCGACCGAGCTCATTGTCAAATCTCGTCCTTTGGCTTTGGAGGCACCAATGGCCACTGCATCTTTTGGGGCAAATCCAGTGTTGGCAAACAAGATATCCAAACCTTGCTGCTGCGTCGCATTGCCAAGATGTCCCCGGCAGAGATTCGACCTGTGGGGAACAATCCGGATGATTGGGAAGCAGATCTTCCTGAGGCCAATCCCAAAGCTGGAGACATCTACAGCATCGTCATGCGCCCCGATGATCCCATGGATGAGCCCATCAAATGGGTGAAAATCAGAGATGCAGAGGAACGAGAGGAACGAGAGGAACGAGAGGAACGAGAGGAACGAGAGGAACGAGAGGAACGAGAGGAACGAGAGGAACGAGAATCGATTGAAGAAGCTTATGCCATCACAGGAAATTTCAACAATTGGCAGCAGGATTTGATGTCTCCTGGAGTGTCAGGTCAATACAGCATGACAGTCTTTGTCCCAGCTGATGGTCTAGAGTTCCGCTTTCTGAAGATGCCAGGAGCCTTGCCAATTGCACCGGAGAAGGACAAATGTGCTGAGAAGACCGGGAAAATCTTAGGACCTCAGGAGGATTTGACAACCTGTTGGTCAGTGAAAGCTGCAGCGAATTCCTGCTTGCGAATAGAGCTGCTCTGCTTGAAGCAGATTTATAGTGTCCTGTGGATGCCAGTCCAATGAGAGCTTCCTGGAAAAAAAAGAAACATGTGCATCTTGTGCGGCTTTCTGGTTATTTCTGGTTGCTTCATGCTGTGTACCGTACTACTGTATGCTTTTGGCAATTAGCGATGACGAGGGTCAGGAGATGACAGGAGTACGCGGGAAATACAGAATCACATGACTGCTTCAAATCGTGACAGAACAGGTGAAGTGGCACTTGCTTTTGCTTAATTCAGAATTGAATTTTATCTCAGAATTCTGGCCGTTCTGGCCATTCCTGTTTTTTTACTGAACATCTGACAACATTTACTGCACATTTTGGTCATTGTCCAGTGATTCCTGGTGATTCCTGGCCAGGTCCTTCGCCAATCAGCTGATCTGCTGATCGAGTTTGCTGCGCCGCTGGAGCCGCTGGAGCATTGGCTCCGACTCGCCGGCAACGCCACGGTTCGGGTCTCCTTCCCCTACGCCTCCCAGGTCGGCTTCCACGAAGCTTCAAGATATCATCAGAATATCAAGATAGGATTCAGCAGCTGGATTATCATGGAATGATATAGACTATATATATATGAATGATCAATATGATCGAATATATGTAAACATGATATGGATAGATCATAGCAAACAGCAATCATAGGTCAAGATGTCATAGCCGGCATGTCATGGTCCAAGTTTTGTCCAGGCGGTTCCTTCACTGAATCGCATCATCAAGACAGAGACACTGGCGGCACAGGCGCCAGTGCTTGTGAGCGATCCGTTTGGGATTATCATTCAGCAGCTGGATTATCATGATAGGATATCATAATGATTTCTATTGTATACTTGAGTATACTTGTTACTGTTTTCTCAAACTACTGATAATTGTATGATAATTGTATGGACAAGTTGTGAGAGAATGCCAAACTTTGGCCCCTTTTATCTCCTTGTCGCTTTATGATATTCTTCAGTCTCCTCTTTTTGATTCTGGCCTTGATATGCAACCCCTCGAGTCACTACCACTGCAGATGATTTTAGCAGGTGTTTTCATCCTTTGGGAAACAAGACTTTGAGTGTCAAGAAGCAACCGTGTCATGCCACTTTTGAAATCGTCCAATACAGTGCAACCTCGGTGAAGCTCATTACTTTGTGGATTCTCAAAAAAAAAAACAGGATGGTCTTGAGTTTGTTTTGACCACATCAACATATTTAAATGAGAATGGAGATATGAGATATACAATGGGGGGCTTAGGATATCTTGAGATATCTGGATGGATCTGGTAGCTGAAACATCTCTTGGTCTTGGGCCTCTTGGGCCCCTCAACCCACCTGAACCCACACCTGTTCAGGAGGCCTTGGCGGACAGGACTTCTTGGACGTTACTTCGCCCAGGCAAATGCATGGCAAACGCAACTACGCCACAACGGTTGCTATACGGTTGCTCAAGTCAGAGCATGTTAGAGCTGTGTGTAGCAGTGTAGTCGGTTTATGCCACTGAATATGGAAGTTGTACGAAGTTATGTGAAGTTATCACCATGTTATCACCATGGATTACCAGGCTCGTGGCACATGCGCTTCGTTGATGCCGTGGCATGGGCACAGCGGCATCCTTCACAGGAGATCTACATGAACCAAGCGATGGTGGCAGATCTTGGTTCGGAGGCACTGAATCAGCTGAAGCTCAACATGACGAAAAGCAACGGCTTGACGTTGGTGAGTCCTTCACTGTGGATGTCCTCTGGTATCCAAGCTGCATAGAAATGGAATGAAATGGAATGAAATGGACTGCAAAAAAGCTGAACAAGGTCACCAAAGCATCAGATCAGAATCAGTCCTATCAGCAGTCTATCAGTCCAGTCCCAGTCCTATCAGTCCTATCAGTCCTATCAGTCCTATCAGTCCTATCAGTCCTATATCAGTCAGATTGAGTCTTCTGCTCGAAGAATTTGAGGTGTTGTGACCACTGGTTACCACGTTGACGGCCCGGAGAATCTCTTGGTCCAGCTGACTGGAACGAAGGAGATCTCGCTTCTCAAGCCCAGCGAGGAGTCCAAACTTCAGTACCAGGACATGCTAGATGTGCAACATGGCATAGGCGCTGTAATCAATGGCTGTATAATTGGATATGTAATATGTATATTTGTGTATAAATATAATATATATATAGATATTCAATTAGTATTGGTATAGTATACTTAGTAGAGCTCTTGTATGTTTGTGTCATACTTGACATATTTAGGTGTATGTCAAACAACACAGAGGCACAGTTCCTGAACTTCGTGCAGGAAGTGGTGGATGCTGAGCCTCATGTGGATGACGTGTTTGCAGATGGTCCTGCAGCCCTGGGGGACTTGAAACATTTGGAACGCCGCAGCCGAGGCGCAACGGCGCAACGATCTGGATCAGAATTTGATGTTTGATATTGGCTGATGGATTTTGATGACCCTATATTATGCAGTGATGACCCATATTCAAGATCATATTGATTCATAGTCATTCACTTCCAAGGTCATTTTAGATTCTACCAAGATATTGGCTGATGGATTCACTTCCATATTCATGACTATGAATGACTTTTAGGTGCCAAAAAATGGGTCGTTTTAGATTCTGAAAGGCCATTCTGTCCTGGATGTGGCTGCGGCGCCATCTGCCGTCCCAGAGGATTTCCTGCAGATGTACCAAAAGGCCTGGAGAGAGCGACTAAACTAAACTAAACCAAAATTACATAACATGACATAACATGACTAAATGAGCATTGCCAGCCTGTACTCAGTGCACTCAGTACTGGGTAGGTTGCACTCAGAATATCTTTGAATATTTGCAGGCATTCTTTCATTTTTTTGGAAATGATCTGAATATAATTGATACTCGTAATACTCGCCCGCCCATACCAGGCAGAGGGGATGAGCTGCACCATTCACCCCAGGGATGTTTTGCAGCTCGACAGCAATGAGAAGCAATGAGAAGCAACGAGACTTTGGAGGTCGGACAGTCGGACAGGACATGTCTCCCATCCACCAGGTCCACCAGCAGCATCTAAGGTATACCCTCTGGTAAACTAACATAGCTATTGAAAATGCACCATTTATATCCATTTATAGTTGATTTACCTATTCCAAATGGTGATTTTCCATAGCTATGTTAGTTTACCAGAGGGTATCCCATCTAGTTGGCATCATGCCGTCTTCACCACACCAGATGAGAGCTGTACGGCTTTGAGTTTGAACCTCTGGTATCATCGTACAAAGGCGAAGTGGGATTCTGAAGGTGCAAACTGGTTGAGGAAACGACATGAAATGAAGCTACTATAGATCCATTGCTCAACCCATAGCAGAGGATTAAGATGGATCTGAGATGACCAGAGGTTTCCAAGGCATCTCGTTAGGTTATGAAGCGCATGAATCACTTTGTTTAAGTAAGAAGGACAGGGCGAGTTTGCAAATTGATTGAACTTTGTTCAAAGATGTGGACATTTTCTCTTGAGATGGTTGCACGAGCGCAGCTGGTGGCGAGGCCAATGCAGCTCAAAAGCCGCGGAAAAAGGAGCGGCAAAACAACATCAGATGAAGACAGTCTATGACAGTCTTAGATCTTCGATCTTCGTTCATTCTTGTGACAATTCTTGTGGATCTTGTGACAATCTTGTGGATGTTTTGCAAGTTGACTTGCAAACGGCATGGTTCATGATGCATCATGATGCTTCGTGTGCAGGGTTCATGCGGTATCATGCGCTTCATGCTTTAAGGCCAACTCGGGAGATGCCCCGACCCAGCTGGGAGAGATCCGGTTATGGCGAGCGGCCACAAGGGCCATATGCCGAGGCTGAGCTTATTCTTCGTCAAAAAAACACGGTCAGACGGTCAGATTGGAGCGGCAACAGGTCAACCAATTGGTCAACCGTCTTCCATTTCCACAAGCTGCTGCCACCTGAGTGGATTTTCGCAGATGGTGAAGCAATTTCAGCAAAGATGAAATGCACAACTCCCAAGGTTCGACCGATGGAGGAGTCTCATGCTTTGCTTTGTTTTGCTTTGTTTTGCTTTAATTTGTTTTAATATTTTTGATTTGGTCGAGCAAAGTGTCTGAAAGGCGGCAAAGGCAAACCAACAGTTTCTTTTCAGTTTCAGAGCATGGATGAAGCTGAAAGAATGGAACTTACCGTACAAATCTGTACAAACTCAAGCGACTCAGTTTCTGGATGCATCTGGATGCCGAAGTGACTTGATTTGGCCATCAGGAGACAGAAGCTGCACTTCCAGAGGCCGTACAGAAAACTGACTGCAGGCCGTCAATCCATGTCGATGCTCATGTCGATCATGGCGGTTCTGGGTGCAGGTTGTGGCAACAAGGCCGCGGTTTGTGCTGCTAACATGGCTAACATGCTGAAACTGTGCTGAAACTGGAAAGGAGCGCCATGTTGAAACTGTGCAGTTCTGTATGGGTTTGCCATGGGCTCTCAAGCTTAGGAATCTTAGGGGTAGGGCAACCAAGGTACGTTAACAAGTCTGCAACCAGGAGCATCAAATGGAAGAACCATGGCAGAACCATGGAAGAACCATGGAAAAAGACCCGGTTCCGAACATTTCTGTGTACTGATTCCATTCTGCAGAAGCAGCGCTTTATGAAGACGCCATTGTGAGCATATTCTTTTTGGCAATGGTCTTCAAGTTTCTACTGGAGAGCAATGAAGGTCTGACTCAGCATAAATAGAGCAGCAGGTGTCTTTTTTGGTATGCACGGCACAGTCTCAAGTTGGCTAGGAAAAAGTAGTTGCCACCGAAGGCAATGTTTCTGGGTCATGATTTCGAACACAGAAAACATCAGAAAACCATAAGAAGACCCAGAGATTCGCCTGCCATTTCGCTCATTGCAGAATTCGCTTTCGATTTTGTCGAAGCTTGCTTGCAACATGAGGAAGCGGATTGAAACGGGGAGCGGATCTTCAGTGGCTTTCAACTCAAACTGTGAACATGGCAAGAAGTGGTTTATCTGGTATCTTGCAGGTTTGTTGAAGGTATCCTCATTGAATCTCCAACCAGGTTGCTGGATTGTTACAAACCCAATATTGTTACATATTGTTACACACCCATATTGTCACAAACCAATATTCATCAATATTCATGGCTACAAACCCATAATATCGTTACAAACCAATATTCATCAAATTTCATCAATAGTTTGTTATGAATATGATATTGAAAACCAATATGGTTTAGTTTGTTGTTACAAACTAACCATCGTTATCAATATTCAACCCAATATGGTTTAGTTTGTTAACGCTGCATCGTCGCAGATTATGGCTTCACTGGAGCCCTTGGCCACATTTGACGTGCGCTCTGCCGTGGCGCTTCAGGCGGGCTTTGTGCACTGGAAACCGGAGCCACCGGAACCACCGAGAGGAACTTACGATGATTATTCAATGATGAAAACATATTATATTACCATTATGATCATCATTATCATCATTAATCATTATGATCATCATGATCATGATTATGATATTATTTATATTATATATAATATTATATAAAGGGCATCATTGATAATCATCATGTATCAAAATTATCATTGTTATAGTTATCATTACTCTGAGTCATTGTTGTGATCAGTTTATCATCGTCTATCCTCATCAATATGGCCATGTCTGGAAATCGGCACCATGGTATACCATGGTATACTCCTAAAAGAACCATATGCTTATACATCATATGAATAAATAAATAACTATATATATTATATATTATATATATAATACGTATCAATAGGAAACATGTTGATTCACCCATGGTTTTTGGGACAGTGGATCCAGGCGCCGAACTTCAGCTTATTGGATGGAGCAGAGGAGACGGTCTCGCGCGAAGATTGCCACTTCGGCGAGCTGGTGATGGTGGATGGTCCATCATTTCCATTGGGATTTATAAGATTTATAACGATTTATTTCATAAATATACCTAAAGGTATATTTATGGAATATAAATCATCTATAACATTTATAACATTTATAACATTTATGGTCCATCAGAATCCATAACATTCATGATGTTTGGATTCTCATTGTAAAATGGAATAACATGGATGACCATACCACCATAAAGGCATGTGACATGTTTGATGGCACTTATTAAACATGGGGATGTAATATGGGAATGTTTTGAACATCGACCTCCATCCAGGATTTCACCGCGGTCTATGGCGATGGGTTTGTCTTTCGAGGAAACTGAGTCATTTGTTCATTTGTTGATCTAACCCACCAAAATTGTCCCTTTTTGGAACCAGAGATTCAGTAAATTTCAGGCAATATGCTGTTTGATGTTCAAATCTCCCTTGAAACACTTCATCATGATTCATGATGGATTGGATCCGTGTTCAGTGCACTTCTCCACCTGCGGTTGAAAACTGCTTCAACTGCTGTTTGGTCTCAGGTACAGCTGCGCAAGCTAGAGAGCATCTTGGATCCAAACCTTTTCAACCCCTTGTAGCTCTGGATGTTAGATTCTGTTAGATGATTTTGGATGAAAAACTGGATGATTTTGGATGTTTGGAGTTTGGAATTTCATTCGATTCTGAAATATTCTGAATTCACGTCGCTTTCGTCGGTGTTTCCGTGGACTTTTACCAAGGCTCTCCATCACTCCATCAGAGCCTGAGAGCCAGGCATGGTGGATGTGGTCTCAATGTTTTCACCACATGACTTGTGAGTTTCCATAGTTTCCAATGAGAGGCATTCTGATGTTCATTCATGGTCATTGATGTTAATTTTTTCAGGTATTCGAGAGGTCTTCCATGGTCTTCCATTTTTTCTTGGGTCGTTTCTACATTTCTTTCTTCCCTCAAGCAATGCTGGGCCAGGCTGATGCAGATTTCCTTGGACGATTACATCATTTCAAGAATATGTTTCGAGTCCCACCTGCATCAGAAACAGAGCACTGAGCAGCTTCGCGGGCACCATCCGGGTTGCCAGTCTGATTGTTGAGTTCTGCATATTTTTTTCTATTCATGGCACATCATGGCAGTTCACATGACATATCAGTGCTGGTGTTTGCAGCTCCAAGGAATGTCAGCCACAGAGGATCCAGTCTCAGTAGCTTGGTGGAACGATCTGTCCAGTTCCAGAATACCTCAGCGGACTGAATCCATGACACACCGATTTGTTCAGAGTTTCTTGTAGAACCCCCGTTTGGCTTAAGACTGCTTTTACCGTTTTGGTGCAGGAGGGGGGGGGGTATTGGTGCACGGCTGGTGCGCGGAAAAGGAAAATAGGGGCAAGGGTGGGTCTGGGGAGGGAAAAATAGGTGCGGGAGTGGGTTCTTGCCAATCTATGGATCCAGTCAGGATCCCGTCGGGACCCAGTCGGGCACCAATTTTTGCATTTTTGGGCACCGCTTCGGGATCCAGTCGGGATCCAGTCGGGATCCAGTCGGGATCCAGTCGGGCACCAATGTCGGGAGGCAGCCAAATTCATAAAAAATAGCATTTTTGCAGTGTTTTTGCATGTTTTTCGGTGATTTTGGCTGCTTCCCGACAGGTCCAAACGTGGTGCCAAAAATTCGAAAATTGGACTGGATCCCGACTGGATCCCGACTGGATCCCGACTGGCCAAAAGCGGTGCCCAAAAATGCAAAAATTGGTGCCCGATTGGGTCCCGACTGGGTCCCGACTGGGTCCCGACTGGATCCCGACCCGGTTTCTTCAAAAAAACACCTATTTCCTTAAATTTGAGCACCTATTTTTGAAATTTTAGCACCTTGCCGTGCACCACCCCTTCCCTCCGTTTCCCCCTCCGGACCCCCCCCCACCAGTCTTAAGCCAAACACGGGCTTGGCAAAGAGTTTCTGAGTTTTCCATCTGACCAGATTTCGGGGTTTCTCAGGGATTGACCATCGGGGCCATGTCAGGTGTTGATCCACAAAGTGGGACCTCTGTTGATTTTTGACGATGGCCCGCGCGTTCGTGATCGAGTGGACCGCACAGATGGTCACCTGGCAGCCCTGGCACAGGTGATGGTCACCATCCCACACTGGTGCGGGAAGTGGTAAGCCTGGTTAGGAAGTTTCCATTCAGCGGATTGTCCTATGATTAATTTTTGATTGATTTATGATTTATATAGATAGATAGATAGATAGATAGATAGATGAGTATCCCATATTATCCCATATTTTAAGTATGGCATTGTGTAAATGAAAGATCAGTGGGATGATATGGGATGATCCCCCAAGCACCGAGGCAATCAGATTCCAGGATTTGACCATGAACAGTCCCAACTGATGTTGGCTGAACTGGATCCCTCCTTGGAGATGTCTCTTGGCAGATGATATCCAGGGAGATGTGGACACTGTGGACACTGTTAAAAACTGTTAAAAACTGTTAAAAACTCCAAGTCATCATATCCTGAAGTTTTCTAATTTCCACAGAGATCTTCCATCGTTCCACCAGTGGTACAGGATGGTACAGGATGGTACATGTTTCCAGTTGAATCTCTGAATCTCCCATTGAATCTTCCATTGTTTCCAGTTAATACCAGTTAATACCAGTTAAAACCAGTTATACCAGTTATTCAACTGGAAAATACTGGGTTAATACCAGTTATCCAATGGTGGAGACAGGCAAAACAGCTGAGGGCGCTGGGTACTTCCTCTCGACCTGCTGGATACTCTCGACCTGGACTGCTGGCTCCAGAGCTCAACAGTCTCAACAGTCGACTCTGTGTGAAGAACACCTTCCTGGACTGAAAAAGATATGGGCTGCTGAAAGATTTGAAGCGCCATGGTGTGGTGCCATGCCAGGATGAAATCTTATGAATTGCCAGGATAAAACCATTAATAAAACCATTAATAAAAGCAATCTTTGGCGATGCTGAACAATTTAGGTGATTCCCTTTTGTTCAGAATGTAAAGTCTCAACTTGGGAGGTTTAACTGCTGTCTTTAGTTGGATTGTTCCTTTTCATTTTATGTACAACTCAAGTCTGGTCAGCGTGTGTTTGTGAGCAATGATTTCAGTCATAGATCATGCCCCATAGAAGCACCTGTGTCTCCAGCACAGCTTTTGTAAGTGCCAACCATTTTCCAGCTGTTTGCAAAATTGATCAAAATTGTCTGAATATCAAATATAGGTTCAAATCCGCCTTGCATTGCGCACCGCCGCCCAAATCCGCCCAAAACCAGGACGTTGACGAAGACGACGAGAACGAGAGCCTGGGCCGTGCACAGAGCGCCCCTGGCCGTGTGGACTGCGACACGCCGCGGTCGATGTTCTCGGACGATCCACGGCGTCTCCTTCCAGGCCCCGATTGGCCGGGGCCTTCCCAGACTCAAAAAGAGATGTACAGAGAAGTAACCAATCTATCTATGCAAGTCTACTAAGTCTACCAAGTCTACGAAGTTTATCTAAGTTTACTATACCGATTGAAAAGAACAGATTCAACGCAGATTCAAAACAGATCTTTTGGGGGCTGTGCTGCTGGTTTCCGTTTGTCATTCGATGTCTGCAGGCGACCCCACCTTGGTGCGGCAGCAACTGCAACAGCATGCAGATCGAGCAGCCAATGCATGGTCTCTTGGATCAAATTAGTTTGACATGAAGGAATTGCTATGAAATTACCCATAGGATCCATGTATGGTATATATACTAACATTTAACATTGCCAATTAATTGCTATGATTTGTTTGACACCATTTTACGAACTGGGCAGGTACTTAAGAATTGGAAAGCATGAATATACATGAAGACCTGATTTCGAAAGTCAGTCGCCCTTCTGTTGAATGATTTGAAGCTGCAAAAAGGAGTCCAGTCCGCCTCATGTGATGCTTGGACAATTTTGGACATGCGGGACGTGTTCGACTGCAGAACGAGGTCCTTAATACCATATGAGCCTGGAGATCATTTCTCCTGCGAGTTGGCAGCGAGACATTGGGAGCTGTCGCTTAGCTGATCCACACTCCCAGAGGCGCTCAAGATAGAGAGTAGTACGATTAGTACGGGTAGGCCAAGACCCATCTCTGCATTGTGAACGCTTCAATTGACAATAATTGAGGTTACAGTGTACGTCTGCATCATGGCTGCATCCAGGCTTCGGTGTGACAGGAAATGAAAGTTAAGACTCAGTCGTTTTCTTGGCGAAACTGATCAACTAAGGGCAAAGGCAATCCAGGCAATGCTGTGGTAGAAGCCGTACGATCCGTGTTCGCTGCTTGGCAGAGGTATGTCGGGGATGACAACAGAAAATACTGTAAAGCCCATTGATATGGAGTGAAATATCTTTGTCGTTGAGGTCTAGACGTCGTGGAGGACATGTTGCAATCGTTGCATTTACATCGAAATCATTGCCGAATCATTAGGAATCCATCATTTGTCATATTATGACGACTAATCTGATGGCCGGAGATGTTTTGGATTTTGATGGATTTTGTCAGGTGTCAATTTTAAGCCACTCCAAGGATATCCCGCCTCAACCTAGCCGTTTTGGTCGAGCAGTTGCTTGGCGCAGCCAAGAGTCGCAAAGACTACAGGTGAAAGATGTGAAAGCTGGTGACTGGTGAGATGTTTGTTGATGTTTGTTGTCTTTCCTGTCAGTCATTTAAAATGACGCAAAAATCCTGCACGGCACTTGTGATCTCCTGTGATCAGGTTGAGTGGCGTTGTGGGCCTTACAAAATTCTGCTGGGTTGCGACTTGGTGGTGATGCACAGTGCGGATCTTTGGTTGCAGCCAGGGCCACAATCTACCGATATCTACCGCCCATGTGCCATGCGATGCCATGCGGATGGCTACAGGACAGATGTGATCACAGCGACTTCGCGTCCTTTAAAATGCTTCCACCAAATGGGACTGGCTTGCCCTCTCGCAATGAGAGATTGGACATGTACCTGGAGAACATGATGTGCGACATCAGCAAGGAGCCAGACTGCATCTGTCAGCCTTAAAAAGGACAAGATAGTGAGTATATTACATATTATGTGAGTATAGAGTCATCGAAACAGCTGGAACAGATCAGCTCAAATGGTGTTTCTTTCCTCTGAAAGTGGGGTTTGCAACAATATAATATAATATAATATGCTATAATATGATACTGTATATAATATGATAGAATATGATATAATATGATATAATATGATATGATATGATATAATATAACATATATATATATAATAATACATATATATATAATTATATATATATACATATATATATAATTATATATATATATACATATATACGCATATATATATATATATTGGGACTCACGCAGCAGTTAGATACCCTACCAGCACATTTCGGCAGGCCGTATGGGGCTCACCTGGCGCTGGTGACTCTGGACCTTCTTGGCGAGTCTTCAACACTGCTGACCTTCCGGTCAGTCCAGGAGAGTCCAATCTTCCATGGGGATACCTCCAAAAAATTGCTTTTTAAGATGGAAAATGGCTATTTAAACCACGATAAACCATCAAATTTGATGAATTTGGGAGGGTTGTTCCCATTGACAAAGCCAGAAACATCTTCCAATATCTTCCAGCAATATCTTCCAATCCTTTCAAGGAGAAGGGGAAGACTTCGATGCCAAACAGCTTCACCAGCACTCGCAACAGCTCTTGCACTTCCTGCGGCAGTTCCTTGAACTTAGTGGTGATGCTGACAGTTTTCTACAGAAAAACCATTCCAAAAATGTTGAAAAAAAGCCTGTGATCTCAGCTCACAGGAAATGCAATCGTGAGGGAGGAACCTATTGGCTATTTCGAGAGGCGAACCTTGGCTGCAACTTATTTTTTGTGATTTGAATTACACAACACATGTCTCAACACATCATCATACATCTGGATAACTTGTAGCAACCTCACAACAGCATCACCAAACATGATAATCATGATATAGAAAACGAAGGGGAACCACCCCAACAAGTGTTTATTTTATTTGATAGTATATTAATATTATATTCATAATCTATGTCTGAATATCTCTGATTTGGGTTTAATGCCGCAGAGCTATAAATTAGGAACTCATCGGCTGTGGAGCTGTATGACCTCAGCTCCTCCATGGAAGCCGACAACTGGGACTCGTCAGCTTTCAGGATACGGGACGGGTCGGACATGGTGGGACGGGCGAATTGAAGAGGTTGAAATTTGAAGATTGATGGCAGGTTGATGGTTGGTTAATGGTTGATGGTAGTTCATCATGGTTATATGATATATGTGATCATGCTTTCAACATCATCATTGAATATAACCACATATAACCACATGGATGTTATTCATGATGGTGGTTAATGATGGTTATTGAATGATGATGTTGATGTTGATGGCGGTAGAAAGCTGAAATTTTGCTGAAAGATGCTGAAAGATGCGACAGACAGCAACATTGAATTTGGATGTTTTGGTCTGAAGCGATTGGTATACACAGCCACAAAGCAGCTGTTCCATTCAACATATTCAACTGCAATTTGCAAAGCTCCTTTGGAAGATGGAAAGCCGTTGCGAGAAAAATGTCAACGCGTGATGATTTTCAGTGACATAAAACCACACAAACCCACTGATCTTCACGTAGTTTCACGTATTTTCACCTTCATGACCTTCATGATCTTCACGACCACACCGTACCAGAACTGAGCCGAGCCAAAAAAAACCGATGATTTGCTCCAGGACAACGCCATCCCTCGCTCCACCGATTGCATCACTCTGTGCACATTTGGCACAGTCAATGCCGCTGCTTGGCACGGAAAAGCATAGAAGATATAGAAGGATGGACACAGAAATGGAGGAGGACTGGAGTCAGGAATGACTTGGATGACTTGGTCACCAAGGCAAAACGAAGAGAAAAGACAACTGCTACAGAAGGTCCTGGGCTGACAATCGTATGGTCCTGGCACTGTCATTTGAGTCAATTGTGGCAATCTGCTGAAGCAAAAGCGTAGAAACATTCCATCATTTGCTGAATTGTTGAATCGACAAGTTCAGGATCTAATTAGCATGATGCGTAAGACAATACGTATAGATACTGTACATACTAATATACTTGAATGCCATCACATAGGAACTTCCAATTCAGCTGTGCATAGCGGCACAGAGCAGCTTCTCCAAACTTGCAAACCATAGTCTAAATAAATACATAATAATACATCATATATCTCAATATATCATATATCATATATTATAGAATATTTATCATATTAATAATATATCTGTGAAATGATAATTATTATGGTGATAATCCATATATGATACATCATAATATATATATATATTATATTATCATGCATGATAATATCATATATCCATTCTTTTCACAGCTGAATTCTTCGAGGCAGTTCACCTGTTGGAGCCTCTGAAAGAGGAGCACTTTGGGCTGTACTCCATGTCCGCACTGGAGCTGGCGACGCGACCTCAGAAAAAAACCGGTTGGTTTGGGGAAATTCATGGAAATCCTAAAGTGGAATGTAAAAAAAAACTGTAGAGACACGAAATTTTGTATCAAGTGTGAGATGATGTTTTTGATCCTGATATATTTGGGTTGGCCTGAAACCACCAGCCGTTTGACACAGAGACCTTGTTTTGTTTGAGGTGTTCCTACATGCGCACACCGTTGGCTGCGATCTCTGATAAAGCGGACTCAACGCGACAACAAAGACTGGATGCGTTTTCCAAGTGTGGAAATAGTTGATTGAAAACAGCTGCCAGTTGCTTTTTTGTTGCCACTTTCCCTTCAACTACGGGCACTTCAATTGACATGAAAGCCTGCTAAACATCTGCATTTTTCCAAGTTCAAGCTGCGCCGCGAGGACCAGATGCACCTGCTTCTGCCAGACTGTCTGTGGCATTGCGTTACCTCGAAAGTGTCACTAGGCTTTCAAAATCAGATGAAAGAAGAGGAACTAAGATGAATAAAATACAAGTTTGCGTCAGCTCCGGTCGGGCTCCATGATCAAGGGCCTACCAAGGGGTTTGGCAGACCTTTCTTGCTGACCATTGGTTCAAAAAATTACTGAGATTTATTGCGAAACCAGGGTGAAGTTGACGGGAATGTTTCTTGAACCATTTTGAACGATCTTGGTTGATCTTGAATTATATATTTATATATTATCTATATTATATTATATATATAAAGCATCTTGAACCATTCACACTTAAAACTGTGGAACTCCATGGAACACAAAACATTCTGCAGCGTTTCACCCAGCGTTTTCAGGTCTTGCGGTTGCTGGGAGGTTTGGACGAGAGTTCTCTTCGAGCTGGATTGTTGCTGCAAGCCCAGGCGGGATCAGAGATTTCTCATTTCTGGTAAACTGATGCCTGGATTGATTATTGATGGTCCACTTTTTTCGGGAGACAACATCCCAATTATCGTAATGACAGTTTTGTTGAAGAGTCGGAAGAGTTCCATTTCGATTTTTTCACATGTTGCAGAAGGCTACTTGCTGGACTCGAGTCCCGCGACCATTTTCTGATTCATAGCAGGGAGGCTTTTTGTGTAATCAAATCATATCAAATCATTGATGAAAAGACCAACAGGTCCAAGTCTGGTCCAAGTTCCTACCCAGAACCCCCCTGGCTGCCAGGTGGCTTATGCAGAGTGCATCATCAAGTTGATTCGTGAGGCACGGGGCATAACAGGATGGAACAGGATGGAACTAAGTTGACAGTCAGTCGACTCAGCAGTGGCCATTTTTCTGCAGAAAACTGCTCCGGAAGACTCCATGAAGTGAGAATCTTGTCCATGCATGGCTTCCAGTGAAGATCGCTCGTTTTGCATGTTTTTTTCAAGTCATAGTGTTAGATAGTGCTAGCAACATGCCAGACGTCGGTGCGAAAAACGTGATGAAAATGTGATGCAAACTTCATTCATTGAGCCAAAGTTCAGGCCCAACTCATTGAGCTTGTCACAGCTTGTCAGGCTGCCGTACCAACCTACAGTGCATGGCTTGCGGACATACAAAGTGCGCAGGAGCTCACCATGAGTCCTTTGATCAAATGGGTCAGCACTCGAAATGTAGTTGCTTGATGTTGATGATTTTGCTTAAACTATCAATCTATATCGATCTGAAGTAAGGATTTAGCCCATGATCAATCTGAATAATTAATCTGAAGTAAATCTGTTGAATTTGCGGCAGGAGGCACAGGATTCACGGAAAGGCCGTGCACAGCGGCAGCTGGAGTCTCAGACATTTCTTCACAGCTCCATAGAAGAAGAGTGTGGATGTAGCCACTTCCCATGAATTTGACAAAGAATCGATTTTACACATACATCACAGAATCATAGATCGTCATAGATAATGACAAACAAATATTATATACTAAATAATCATCCACAATCACATATTATGTAAATAGGATGTTCCTTTCGGATTTGGTCGTTCCTTGGTTTCTCCGAAATCTGTTGAGGCTTGATGAGATGAAGCAGCTCAGCGCCGCATTCTTGTGCCTTGACAGCTTGCAAGCGATTATCATTATGATCAATGTGATATCGATATGAATTATTTGTGAATATTAGTCATTGATGATTCATATGATGATTCACTGTAAGTTATGATGATGATGCTGATGCTGATGATGATGATGATGATGATGATGATGTGATAAATGAAATGAGCTTAAGTGATGAAAGGTTGATGACAATGGCAGGATCAAGCCTGGCAGAGGAATCAAAAGCCAACTCAGACGGCAGACGGTCGCGTCGAGGCTGTGGCGTCTCTTCTGGCTATGCCGCGCCCAGCGTGCAATGTCGTTCCTGCCGAACGAGAAGCGCGAGGCGCAGCACACGCCACCCTCTTCCACTGGCCCGTCCACTGTTTTGACATGATTTGAAAATGTACATGGCAATACATGGGTGTTTCATCGGTCAAAGCAGGTTGAGTGTTGGACCATCGATCGAGATCTGTGCGAAATGATGGGTCATTTGGCAGCAGGTAGTTAGAAATGTTAGAAATGTGTTTCTTCTCCAGCGGTAGTTTTCGCAGAATGGTATTGTATGGTATTGTATCGTTTGAGGACAAACCAGATTGGTAATTGATGTAATTGCCTAAGTGAAACCATATTTGCGCCTTACATTGTCAATTTGTAGCTCCCATGGATCCTTCAGTGGCTCGATTGGTGAGTTTTTGTTTGCTGAGGAGACACACTTTACGGCTTAAGCCGCCAGGGGCTTGGGAGTGAAACAAAGGCCGACGGCATTTGGTGGGATATCACAGGAAAATTGATATGGTAATAATATGATATCATATAAGACGCTACACAATATGTGGATTATGTGGCTATGACATGAAATAACCATCACAGTAGGGAACCAATGTATATGAACATATGCGAATGATTGAACACGTGTACTGTACACCTAAGTCTGTGACTGTTGCTGCTGCTAAGGCTATCCAGCAGATGATGTAGATGCCTTGCTGGCTGGGCAAATGGCGACTGCGGAGGTCCGACATAGCATGGCTACGATGGCTACGATGGCTACGATGGCTACGATGGCTACGATGGCTACGATGGCTACGATGGCTACAACCATGTGTAGAGAAGATCTTGGGGCATGAGATTGTACCAGAAATGAAAGAACAAATGAGAACTTGCATGGATCATGATGGAATCATGATAATCATGATGGAATTTGTCAGAGCAATGGAATCTGCGAGTTTCCAAATCTCCAAATCTGCGCTGTCAGCACTGTCAGGGGATCTGTACACTGGTGGAAGAGGGCCTTCGCACCTGGGCTCTTCAAGGCGGAATTGTCCCGAAGACGTGAGACATTTGCAAGACATTTGGCAAAATGATGCAAAATGTTGCGATCCTGTTTCCATTTGCTTCCATTTACCAGACAGCTCGATTGTGGTTTGACATGTTTGACATGTTTGACATGTTCCCCAGGGCAGACGGAGACAGGTCCAGGCCGGAAGCAGATCAAAGGGACATCGGCAAGTCGACGAAAATAGATGGCGGATGATGGCAGATGTGGCGGTGAATTCGAATGATGATTCATGAATACTGATGATAATTGTGGAAGGACAGGCTTACCATATTGCAACAAAGATGTAACATCATGTAGATGATCTTGAATCACTTGTCATGCCCAGATTTGGGGTTTTTCGTATTTGTTTAGTTACTTGTTCGGTAGATTGCCAGGCAAATCCAAGCTAAGCTCAGATGCGCAGCCGCACGGGCAGCTAGTTGGAGCTATCTTCCTGCCACCTCCTGAGTTACTGTGACTGTGGTCATAGTTTGGTCATATTTGCTTTTGAATCAATATCCTTTAGTACAATATCTTGGAATGTGTTTGGATAAGGCGTGACACTGATCATAATATCATCAGATTATCATACAGTAAGATATTCTCAACTTATCAGAGATTATAAGATTATCATAAGATTATCACTTACCCTCTGGTTAACCCAACATAGCTATGGAAAATCACGAATTTTAATGGGTAAATCCACTATAAATGGTGATTTTCAATAGCTATGTTAGTTTACCAGAGTGTAAATATGGCAGATCTCATGGCAGATCTATGACACCCAGGTCCAAGATGAATCCCCTGCAGCGGCAACTGGGAGACCGAGCCCTGAAGGAAGATCCCTTGGTGCGAGATGATCTTCGCCGTGCCCTGTGGTCCGAGCCTGGTCGTGAAATGATGAAAGATCCCATGAAAAAATCCATGAAATGATGATGAAAATGATGATGAAATGATGTAAAAAAAGAAAGGTCCCAAAGATTTCCACTGCCAAAGCTGTTTTCGACATTTGCCTTTGTCACATGCTTCGATGTTTCAAAAAAAAATATCAAGTGTGTCAGAAGTTGCCAAGAAAAGTCTAAATGTTGTGCCACATTGATGTGATGTCTTCCTCAGTGGTCACCTCTGGGTCGTAAGAGGAAGAAGAGATGTCAAAATGTGGGTATGGTTCAAAATGTGCTCGCCCAAAATGGATGGTTTCGACATGTTTCGACCCTAGAAATGGCCTTTCGGTTTTGTTGATTAATCATTGGTACATATTCGTAGCTGGTAGCCGGTGGTGCATGGTGGTACCCCAACCCCCAGGAGGGCCATGCCATGCAGCAGTGCTTGAGCCTTTATCATCGAGCAGTTGCACGGCTACGTCGGGACTGCAAAGATCCAACAACTCTCAAGGCGATGGCATGCGATGGCATGCGATGGCGATGTTTGAAACTGATACAGATTGTACAGGGCTTGGTAAAGGACATACAGTGACATACATGTCCTGTTTAGGAGATTTTGAAGATCACTTGGAAGTATTTGTTGGAGATGAAATTCCCAATGGGGGATGTTCAATTCAGAAAAACCATCCCTTGTCGCTGAAAGTCCCGTCGCTGGCAGCAAGAGTCTCGAACTGACACCTACGATCGCTTGCAGACCACAAAATACAGTACCGTAGTCTGTAGATGTTTGTAGTACTGTGGTATATAAATATAGAAGTGATACTAAACATGAATTTATATATTGCAATTGTTGCACTTTCCTTTCGTTTCTTCCAGTTTTGTGAGTTGCGTCCCAACTTCCGCATCCTTCAGCCGGGGATGGCCTTCTTTTGCGGCCAGATCCGGCCAGGTGGCCCGGAAATTGGCTCATCTCTACAACGAGGAAGCCCGTGCAGCGTTGCTGGAGCGCACAGGTGGCGAGAAAGCCGAAGAGCTGTTGCAGCAAGCGCAGCATTGGATGGTCGGGGTGCTGAATGGATGGCATTGTTGATGGGTTTACAATGGTTTATAGATGTTTATAGTTTATAGTTAACGGATGTTAAGGGGTTGTCAAGTTGTACCCACAGGGTCTATTGATGTTCATTGGGCATTATCACAATCATTCATACTGTTCTATGGCTCACATGAGTTTGTCTCTAGACATTGTGCTAAAGCACCAAAAATCAGCGGTATCCAATGGTTTGAAAGTGTGAAACTTAAGTTTTTCACAGTCATGACACGTCATGACACGTCAATTTTGGGGTATATTACGGTATACCCCCTACGGTGGGTAGTTCGGGCCAAACCCACGTCACATGTGGTTGCATCATCCCGCGACCGGCAAAATAAAAGAGTGCTCCCACCGGGCACGGGCACAAGCCACACCCCAATACTCCATGTAGGGTTATTGATGTTTATTTGAGTCCCAGGAATTTCTTCCAATTTTCCAGTTTTGATAGAATTGATCAGGAAGTTGATTTGCTATTGCTCAAAGCAGCAGAGTTTGTCCACTGTTATCCTGCTCGGAGGTCTTGTCTGGAGATCGATCGAATGTAACCTGGCGCCCAAAAGGAGTGGCATGTATTGGCTCCAGGAATCTCAAATCAAGCGAGTAATTTTGCTGGAATTTCCAAGAGGGCCAGTGATTCATTCGTTTCCATCACTGGACAGAATGGAAAGGCTCATCCATTTGCAGCAAAATGGGGGAAATTGATGAAATTGCGCCTAGCTCAGGCTGGTCGAGTGTTGCTGAACTTAAGCGAGCTACATGCACGTCGCGCAGAGAATGCCACAGATAATGGGCCATTCACAGAGGCCCAAAGGACCCACAGGGCTCAAACGAACTCCAAGTGATCTTATTCCCTGATTTCCCTGTATGTAAATCATTTAATTTGAAGTTCAGTGGCATCTTTTGATCGGATCAATGATATTTGTTACTGATGCCATGTGTTTTGTCATGTTTTTGGTGTATCACAACCTCACAGGCGCAATATCACGACTTCCTCCGCTGTGCGGAGTGCTGCGAAGAAGCTGCTTCACTGAGCAATGGCGCCCTGGGGCGCCGAGAAGGCATCCAGCGAATCCAGCGATCTGAAAATCGGGAAGCCCCATGAAAAAATCCATTGTCCTGTGGAAAAATTGGGAAAAGTGGGGAAAATCCCATGAAAATTATATGTTTAGTGGGGGAAAATCGTTTGGTTGAAGAGTTCGAATGTTACAACTGTGGCATTTTCCCCAACAAAAAAAGTCATGGACAACCTATTTTGAGACAATCAAAAATGATGGCTCGAGTCATTTTGGTACCCATGGCCCCCAAACCGTCAGCAAAGACTCAATATGAAATATATGAATCAATACACTTGCAGTGACCGCAAAGGTACGATCTTCACTTGATTTCACAAAAATCCTGGTGGTTTTTCTGGGTACCATTGGATACCATTGGATACCATTGGATACCCCATGAAGATCATGAAGGCTTCAAGCTTATGCACATCGCAGCATGTTGATTGGTTCATCGTAAGTCCTGGGTTAAATCATCGGCCCTGGGGGGGTGGGGGCGAGTAGGTGCATTTGCCCACCTGCGTTTGGCGGTACATCTTTCGGTACGAGTGCCAACGCAAATGACTTTGGGAAGCAGGCCGTCCGGACACATTGCATGACATGTCTTCGCAGACTGAATTGGATGGATCGTGATTGAGTCATGAATTTTGGATGGGACATGATCGGACATGATGGGACATGATGGGACATGATGGGACATTTGATTTCACATATTTCACATATTTCACATATTTCACAAATCATTTCACAAATACTTCAACTGACCTGTTGGAAAACTCGCCAGGCGACAGCCTTTGGCGGAGCTGGCAGATCGACACTTAGGACACTTGGTAAATAACGACCTGTCGAAATGAGGACCTGCCTTCTTCGCTGCCCGATTCCCAAAGGATAACTAAGACATTCAGATACTAAGCCTGAGACATTCAGATACCCAAAATACATTCAGTTTACATGTGTGATGTTCATCTGGATGTCTTGGTGACACATTGCATGGTGGTTGAATGCTCAAACACAAGTCGCTGAGGAAAGGCCTTACGGCTTTTTGATGAGCTCAAAGACGAACGAGAAGTGGCCGTGTGTCACTTTTACATGGTGCCTGGGTTTGCACACGTCTGCACTTCAAGCTTTTCGTTCAGCTTCCCAATTGTTCCATCTGCAATATCCAGTCAGTCATGCAATTTCCTCTATTTGTTGTAAAGGCTTGAATGCCAGTTTGCCAATTGCGAGCCTTCCAAATCCACTGGAAGTTTGGTAATGTTACCTCCCACATGGAATTATTATGTTCCAAGTTCTGGAAGAAGCATCATCATCATCGCCTAATATCATCACCATATCACCATCCGTCTCAGGCAGATTTGGCGCTGCAGGAGCAAAGTATCCCTGGTGCTCCTCCCTTATCGCAGCTTGGATTCTGATTGAACGTAAACTGGATCGCTTTGCTGTTTGGTGAGCCGCTGCTGGTTGTCCAACTTTCCTGAATCAAAGATCTGCAGATTTCAGGAAAGCGCGGCTCACCTCCGCCCAACGCCATGCAAAGCGTTCTGCAGAGTACTGGGAGCGCAATGGAGCTCTTGAATATGCCAAGGACAGTTGAACATGTTGAACTAAATTGCGTGACCTGCTTGCGACCTTGTTGCCCCTGAACTATCTCATTTGTTCTCAAGCTGTACATTCATCACAAGCTGCAACAAGAAGGACAGCTATAGTCGGTATAGTCCTCAAGAAGCTCAATGAATTTGGCCATGACATGCCATGACATGCCATGACTTTCCACATTGTTCAACATCTTCCCACAGTCGCGCGCCCCAGGATTTCATCAGCTCTCACATGTGCTCTACCCAGCCACCGAGCCACCGAGGGGCTGTGGCATGTGTGGCATGTGTCGACGACTGTTTCACATGACATGAGGCGAGTGGCTCGACTGCTTTGCCAACGCTCCTCTGCTCAAGAGGCACAGCCGTAACGACACATCCGTTGTTTTTGCATGTTTTTGCGACTTTCTATGAGTCTTCACGAAAAACATGATGTAACATGATTTCAGTTGCTCATTTGATGTGGCCCAGTTGATCCCATTGGTGAAGTGAATAAATTGTACTGTATTCCTCTAGATTCCTATAATATTCCTATACTCCTATGATCTTCCCATGATATTGCTATCATATCCCTACGTATGTTTCCTATGTTCCTTCTATTTGTATTGCTTTTACCCTCGCCTTACCCCATGTCGACATCTCTAGGCGGTCCTTCATTTGGCATCCATCGAAAGAAAGCTCTTGGACCTGGCGAAAAGTGCCCTAGACAGCAGTGGCCGACAAAAATCATCCCAAATTCAGTGGTATTCCAGTGGTATTCCAGTGGTATAAATTATGATCTATAGTATTCTATGTAGAGATTATGAATTTGACACTGAAATGGAATATGAAAAATGAAACCAAAAGAGTACTGTATACCAGATATATCCAGATATCATATTATTCATATTATGATATATTATATTATATATCATCTTATATATTATTATAGATATTATATTATATCATCCATGTATGACCATGGAAGATCATGGATGAGATAAGCCAAGATTTTCCTTGGATCATCCGCAGGCTCTCCCAGCTCCCAATGGGTTCCGGTTCCTGAGGTCCCAAGGCAGATCTCTCGAAGATCGATGAAGGTATCTTGGATGCTGTTGGGATGGGATAGACTACTGACTTTATAAGTCAAACATGGTCAAACAAACATAGATTGTATAATTATAATATAATATTATATTTATATATTATATTTATATATTATATTTATATATTATATATATAATATATATATATATGTATTGTGTCATGATGTTAAATCTATATGATAAGTTCGGGAATAAACTATGTATAAAAGCCCCAACATGCATGATGATGACAGTGGTGTAGTGGTGTAGAGAGGTCATGGAGGTCATGGAGTCCTTCCAGATTTCACTTCTCGAAACCTGATCATCTTGGATTATGTTGGCCTGGACTGAGGAGTTCTGAAAGATAGCGAGATGGTAGGCCAAGTACCAAGTCTTCGACGTGAGATGGCGAGCATCTGCCAAGTTGCCCGGCAGCATTTGGTTGCGGCTGCGCCATGGGATGCCATTTGTAACATATTGATCATCATTGTACATTTTTTTTAAAACGTATATATACATACGTATAACTATATATATATACAGAACTATAAATATATAATTCTATATATACTATATATAATGACATATTGAGACAAATATTGGAACTCGGTTTGAACATCTCGGAAGTCACACAGGCTGGCATTCGTCAGGGTGAGGACGGCGCCGATGCCGGGAGATGCCGATGCATCAAGGGTGAAAGATGTGAAAAGATGGAACGATTCCAAGAACCAGAGACACTTTTTTTCTAATGGCTGGAGATGTGAAAAGATGTACCAAGAGTCTAGAGCCAGAGCCTACACCTGGTACAATATTATAATAGATTATATATTGTTGCTTCATTGCATGGTTTGTCTCAGACATTGTGTGCAGACTCTGTTTGTTTTGAAAGTGATAAGAGCTGCGCTGTTTTGTGGCAACAGGATTTGGAACGCTTGAAAGTCCTGTATCGGCAGGCAGTGGAGAGGGTTTGCGGCCTTATTTTTTGGACTATCTTGGAGTTTAATTTGAATCTTGCCGATTTGACTCAAACCATATGACCCCCAAAACTACCAAACAAGGACCAGTGAACAAAGACCTTTGAACAGATCTACGCTAGGTCCGCTAGGTTGCAATTTGACTCGCTCATCGTTAAGAGATTTCAGGACATCACCTCTTAACATCACCCAAGCCCAAACCAGATGTCACCCAAGCCACTTGAGCCACTTGAAATGTCAGACTCTAATCTGGGACACTCAAACCGCTCACACAGCCAGACATTTTGCATCAGAAATCAGTCAGTAGTTCTTTCTCATCTTCTGCCGATTCATAGGTGCTTCGAAACGAAAAGATCTCTGATGGACTAGCCGGCAAGTAGAGCTATTTCCAAAGCAACTGGCCCTTGTGGAGCTTCTAGTTCCCAGGCAAACTGCTTGTTGTGATAGTCTTATATTAAATATAGAAAACTCATGAAAACTCAGTATGGTGAGATTTGTTGTCGTTTGACATTCGGTTGGATGGTTCTCCGTGCTCTCAGTGCAGCGCCGCCACCGGCGCAGAATTACCGTAGCTCTTGGTGAAAGACGACCGCAGCGCATCCAAAGGATGTCATTTGACCGCCGAAAATGCTGGGATTTCATGGTGAGGTGGAAATCAGGCGAATAAGAGGGAATGGCTCTTCAAGTTTCAACAGACCTTGCGAGCAGAAACTTGGTATCCGATTTGATCAATCCAACAGAAACAAGCAGATGCTCAGATGCTTCATCGTCATTTGATCATCCGATGATCCACTCATTTTACTCACAATTCATGGTCCATTCATAAAGCTATGACCGCAACACGACGTTTGAAGGATGCAATATATGATAATATATGCAAAATATGCTGCAAGATATGCAAGGCCGCAGCCAAAGCTTCCCTCTGACCGAAGGAGGGGCAAAAACCTGGGCAGTGATGGCAGTGATGCTATTTGAGTGTTGGAGATGCAGCGATTGTGGGAGACAACTTGAGATTATCACCCAGTGTTGGCAGATGGTAGCACTGCGTTGGCATTGGATCATGAGCTCTGTGAGAGCCATTGAGAACCATTGAGAACCTGTCATTTTGGCTGATGCAATTGTCAATGATTATGCTAAGATTTCATAGCTTGCCAGGCTCGAAAGAGAAGCCCGAGGTAAGGAGAGTTGTTTTTTGAAGCAATGTTTTAAAGATTTTTAACTCAGTATGTTGAAGCTTGATTTCACAATCTTGGTTGGTCAGGTGAAAGGGCTGGCCCCAGCCCAGGAAGCAGTGCCACCTATTCGCCCGTGGCACCCACAGACTTCACAATCAGAAAGATATCAACAGACAGTCAAATATATATAAAGTGTATAAATTGTACGGACGTTCACTTAGGCTGTTGAGGGCAATTCACCGCCCCGGCAGAATCTCCGCTCAAGCCTAAGTCGTGTTTTTTCTGCAGTTATATTTGGGTCCATATGGGTGCATTTTAGTGCGACTTACACAAATTACTTGTCAGTTGAAAACCATAGCACAAGGAAAGCACATGAAAGGACCCAACGCATAAAATTTCAGAAATTGGCACATTTGGCGAGGCTCAAACTGTGCAGAGGTGCACTGATTGCACTGTGCACATTGCGACGTGTCAACCGTGCTGGCGCTGGCAGGATCTACAGGGAGAGAATGCTTTCATAATGGGAGGACTGCCGCTCTCCATGTTACCGCAAAAAATGCAAGTTGTACTATGTTGTACCACACATCTTATTAACGCATTTGGAAGTAGCCAGATTCAGCCAGATATCAAGTCGATCTGCAAATGCAAACAGAGCACAAAAAGCATTGAGATGAAGGGTAAGAATGCTAGGGAAAGCTCTTAGATATCATCTTAGGAGCACCATTACGTGTGTGAAACACTGACAGAGAAAGAAAATACCGAGGTTTGGTAGTAAAGACCTGGAGAATCTTGGAAAGTGGTGCACTTTCTGCACGCATCAAACATATCTCCAGTTTTTCTCCAGTGCAGATGATGTTGGGCAGATTCTCCGATGAGAACGGGAACATACGGGAACCGTGTCACAGGCGAGCTGAGTCGTGAACAGACCGTCCTTGGCCTTAGCGATCATGATATCAGAATCAGATGTCAATATAGATAGATGAGTGATAGATAGATTCTGATAGATAAGTGATAGATTCTGATAGATAAGTGATAGATTCTGATAGATAAGTGATAGATTCTGAGAGATAAGTGATAGATTCTGATAGATAAGTGATAGATTCTGATAGATAAGTGATAGATTCTGATAGATAAGTGATAGGTAATTGATAGATTCTGATAGATGAGTGATAGATTCTGATAGATAAGTGATAGGTAATTGATAGATTCTGATAGATGAGTGATAGATTCTGATAGATAAGTGATAATTGTGATAGATTCTGATAGATAATTGATAGATTCTGATAGATAAGTGATAGGTAATTGATAGATTCTGATAGATGAGTGATAGATTCTGATAGATAAGTGATAGGTAATTGATAGATTCTGATAGATGAGTGATAGATTCTGATAGATAAGTGATATAGTAGTAATTGATAGATTCTGATAGATGAGTGATAGATTCTGATAGATAAGTGATAGGTAATTGATAGATTCTGATAGATGAGTGATAGATTCTGATAGATAAGTGATAGGTAATTGATAGATTCTGATAGATGAGTGATAGATTCTGATAGATAAGTGATAGGTAATTGATAGATAGATAGAGTGATAGATTCTGATAGATAAGTGATAGGTAATTGATAGATTCTGATAGATGAGTGATAGATTCTGATAGATAAGTGATAGGTAATTGATAGATTCTGATAGATGAGTGATAGATTCTGATAGATAAGTGATAGGTAATTGATAGATTCTGATAGATGAGTGATAGATTCTGATAGATAAGTGATAGGTAATTGATAGATTCTGATAGAGTGATAGTGATTTATAGATTCTGATAGATAAGTGATAGATTCTGATAGATAAGTGATAGATTCTGATAGATAAGTGATAGATTCTGATAGATAAGTGATAGGTAATTGATAGATTCTGATAGATGAGTGATAGATTCTGATAGATGAGTGATAGATTCTGATGATAGTGATATTCTGATAGATAAGTGATAGATTCTGATAGATAAGTGATAGATTCTGATAGATAAGTGATAGGTAATTGATAGATTCTGATAGATGAGTGATAGATTCTGATAGATAAGTGATAGATTCTGATAGATAAGTGATAGGTAATTGATAGAATCTGATAGATGAGTGATAGATTCTGATACATGAGTGATAGATTCTGATAGATAAGTGATAGGTAATTGATAGATAAGTACGATTCTGATAGATAAGTGATAGATTCTGATAGATAAGTGATAGATTCTGATAGATAAGTGATAGATTCTGATAGATAAGTGATAGGTAATTGATAGATTCTGATAGATGAGTGATAGATTCTGATACATGAGTGATAGATTCTGATAGATAAGTGATAGGTAATTGATAGATTCTGATAGACTAGTGATAGATTCTGATACATGAGTGATAGATTCTGATAGATAAGTGATAGGTAATTGATAGATTCTGATAGATGAGTGATAGATAAGTGATAGATTCTGATAGATAAGTGATAGATTCTGATAGATGAGTGATAGATTCTGATAGATAAGTGACAGATTCTGATAGATGAGTGATAGATTCTGATAGATAAGTGATAGATTCTGATAGATAAGTGATAGGTAATTGATAGATTCTGATAGATAAGTGATAGATTCTGATAGATAAGTGATAGGTAATTGATAGATTCTGATAGATGAGTGATAGATTCTGATACATGAGTGTTAGATTCTGATAGACAGGTGATAGGTAATTGCTGGATTCTGATAGATGAGTGATAGATTCTGATACATGAGTGTTAGATTCTGATAGATAAGTGATAGGTAATTGATAGATTCTGATAGGTGATAGGTTCTGATACATGAGTGATAGATTCTGATAGATAAGTGATAGGTAATTGATATATTCTGATAGATGAGTGATAGATTCTGATACATGAGTGATAGATTCTGATAGATAAGTGATAGGTAATTGATAGATTCTGATAGATGAGTGATAGATTCTGATACATGAGTGATAGATTCTGATAGATAAGTGATAGGTAATTGATAGATTCTGATAGATGAGTGATAGATTCTGATACATGAGTGATAGATTCTGATAATAATGATAGGTAATATGTAGATTCCTGATACATGAGTGTTAGATTCTGATAGATAAGTGATAGGTAATTTGAAAGATTCTGATACATGAAGTGTTAGATTCTGATAGATAATGATAGTAATTGATAATTCTGTCGTGAGTTGATAGATTCCTGATACATTGAGGATAGATTTTCTGATAGATAGTGAATAGTATTGATTAGGTTCTGATAGATGAGTGATGATTCTGATACATGAGTTATAGATTCGGATAGATAGGATAGGTAATTATGATTCCTGATAGAGTGAGTGATAGATTCTGATACAATTAGTGATGATTCTGATAGATAAGTGTAGGTAATTTGATAGATTCTGATACATGAGTGATAGATTCTGACAGATAAGTGATAGGTAATTGATAGATTCTGATACATGAGTGTTAGATTCTGATAGATAAGTGATAGGTAATCAATAGATTCTGATACATGAGTGTTAGATTCTGATAGATAAGTGATAGGTAATTGATAGATTCTGATAGATGA